GATAAGACTACTGGTATTCATCTGCCGGCCTTGCTTGACCTGCAAACCCCCAGAACCAGGAAGTGTGCAGAGAAAAATCATCACAGACCCACTGCATGTGGGTCATCATCTGTTTCAGCTACAGTGGTGCTTAAAAGTTTGTGAATCTATACTGCATCAGATTTGCCTAAGAGTTTGTGAAGCTAAACTTAATCAGATTTTCACAGAAGTCCTAATAGTAGATGAAGAGAACCAAGTTAAACAAATAAGACCAAAATATTAGACTTCGTCACTTATTTATTGAGGAAAATGATCCAATATTACATATCTGTGAGTGGCAATGGAACCTTTATGATTAGCAGATCTATCACAGTATGTCCTTTACAACACATCTGTGGAAATGTATCATGGCATGAACAAAGGAGAATTCTGAGGACCTTAAAAGAAGAGTTGTTCATGCTTATCAGGCTGGAAAAGGTTACAAAACAATGTGAAGAGTTTGGACACCAATCTAGTCAGATAGACTGTGTACAAATGGAGGAGTAAGTAAGAGTAAATAAGTACTTTATTGGAATACTCCTTGAGTAATCAAGTTACTTTTTTGTATATCTGCAATCACAACCTGAAAATATTTTGAGCTGAGTTGGCTCAGCTACATTATTGGATGTAATCTGTATACACAAAACTAAAGCACAACATGACATTATGTGAGCAAAAAAAGTTTTGAGCTCAGAGACTGATCACAGTGTGCTCTGCTAGTGCACATTCACACATCTTTTTGTGAACTGTGTAAACGTTTACATTAAAATACATGCATTTCATGGTTAGATGATTATATAGGACTTACTAGTTCATCTGTTTCCAATGAAGATGTTTTTGAATCTCTGAAAAGCTGTGTAGAATTTTTTATGGTTTAATTTATATAAATTAACTGCCAGTACATTTCTACCATTAAAATCATTCACAACAATTTATCTAGTGCTGATTTTCTTTGCTGTTATATATGCCTTTCAATCATACTAATTATTTCATACACAATTAGAAATGAATTTATTTGACAGTTAAACAGCTAAACAGCCTCTTACACAGTTAATGACACACAAACACAAGGGCAGAGAGTAAGGGTGGGAATTTCTAGGCACCTCACGATTCAATTCGATTACAATTCAGAGGGTTATGATGTGATTATAAAACAATTATTGATGCATCTTGATGCATCTGTTTTTTCTACATTATATATATATTTTTCTCACTGTGTGAGGACTTGGTACTTTTAAAGCAAAATATTTGTAATGATCTATAAGGAATTTACTTCCAATATCTATTAATTCTAAAACAAATGGAAGTGATATGGCAAGTGAACTAGAAGGCTCTCATACACTGCTCTTGTTTGGAGCACGAGACACTGGCTGCCACTCATCTGTGATAAAATGCACAGTTACGGTGACATAAGATCCAGTGGCAATAGATGTCCACGCAGTACATGTTACAGCTATTCTACCCGTTTTCTTTTATATTTTTTTTATTTTATAACTTCGGTTTTGGTCTCGTTGTAGAGAGTGGGAATCGCTATGTCAGTAAAATATCTTTGAGAAGGGACGCTGTATCTCGGCTCCAAAGTGTGCAACACAGCACGAAAGCCATGGTTCTCAATGCCTGAGAACTGAGGCAGACTGCAGGTCACGCAGCAACGCAGTCTCGCCTAGCTAGTAGCTAACGAAAAGGCAAAGAGAGAGATTTAAGACAAACATTTGGAGACGAATGGACTTATTCACATTTATAAGCAGCACAGTTGGTTTCCTGGAACATTAAACCTGCAATGAGAGACTGTCAAACACTAAAAAGTTGCGAAGATGAAGTCAGCTTACCTTTTGAATTGTCCTGTTCCACCTTAAGTGGTGCCGCATTTACATTCTGGCGCCTCAGGCAGAATTTAAAGTGGAACGGGAAAATTTTAACAAGAAGCTGGTGAATAAGAAGCTGACTTCATCTTCGTAAAACAGTCGAACGTTGAGAGACATTTTACAAGAAACTGTTCTACTTTTGAGGAAAAGTTTTCCGGTGGAGATGGGAGGAAAGCGGCTATAGCTAAAGCTTAAAGCAGAGCAAAGTAAGTCTGTGTTTTCGTTTATATTTTTTAGCCTATACTAGGACATTAGCACATACTGAGACATACTGGACATAAAATGTTGTGGCTCCCAAGGTGGTTTGATTTTTTTTTGAAAGGACAAAATGTCTCTTCTTAACATTTGGGTTGTCGACTCCTGACCTAACCTACCTTTTAATGTAGAGTGTGCCGGTCATATTTATTGCTCATTCAGTTGTGTTTTTGTTATGTGCATGTCACAGAGCATCTGAGCGCTGCACTTCCGCACTTCCAAGTTCCACCTTTTGCGTTATGTCAACATTACAATATCAATTAACATTTAGAAAATTGATTGACATTTGTGAATCGATTGAGAATCGTCCATGTCCGCATCACAATGCATCTAAGAATCGATTCCCCCCCCCCACCCCTAGCAGAGAGAGAAAGAGACAGATAGAGACAGGATGCATTCTGTGATGAACTGACTGAATAATAACCTAATATTACAGCACGACTCTTTATAAACTCTGTTCGAGTGATGCTCTGATGTCTCTGATGGCTTTTTATTCATATGAGGTGATGCGTCTCTTTACAGCATATGCACGACTGAGGAGTTTCCTACTCCACACTCCCGTCTGATCAGGTCACTGTTTGGCCATTAATGTTTAAAAAAATGAAAGCACGACAGAATTTTTGTCTGGAGTTTATGGGAACATGTATTAGACCAGATTTCCCTTATTGCAACCTTTTTTTTTTTCTTTCTGTTTCCTCTAAACTGGACGTCTATGAAGTGTTTTGGAATTGCATAATATGGCACTGTTTGGGCCATTAAGGTTTTTTTTTAACATTAATGGCCCAAACAGTGACCTGATCAGACCGGAGTGTGGAGTGTGAAGCTCTTCTGTCGCGCACACGCCGTACAGAGCTACATCAGCTCACATGAATAAAGAGGTGATACACTCATAATTTAGTTTTTGCTTTGCAACGTTATTAAAAATTTAAGTAGCAAAGTGAAAGTATTCCATTAAATATTAACTCAAGTAAATGTTAACTACTGAGTTATTTCTACTTCAAAAAGTACTGTTACAGGGAAAATGTAGGCTACTCAAGTATGGTAACGGGAGTAGGCCTAAATGTAATTTGTTACTTACACATCTGCTTTTAACTTAATATCTTTATCAATAGAATGATTTTTAAACTCATGGCAGCCATACACTACATGCTCTGCATCCCACAGTGTCCACAAATTCGTAACCATTGTTTTTAATGAAGGTGCACACATTAGGCATTGACATGCGCTCAGCGTCTCCTAGTGGTGTTCAGTTTCTCTGCATGCCTCCGTGCACCACTTAGCATTCTGCCATTACTGGATGAAATTATACCTAGAATGAGACTACAAAAAGTGAGAGTACATCACATGTACACATTTTTAAAAAGAAAGACAAAGTCTTTTAGATAAACAGATAAATAATAATGATAAGTAACCTCAGCCAATGTTAGTCTAGTCTTATTCACCTTGTATCTTTCAGCTCAAAAACAGACAGTTTGTGAAGACCTAATTAGCTGATACTGCACTGCCAAGTGGAAAAGTTTTTTGGTTGGTTCAGGGAACTCTGGCAAAAAAAAACTGTGAATATTAAGTCGGATAAGATCTAAAAAATGAAGTAGCTTGTCATCTTTTTCTGATTACAATGTTTATTTTAACTATGGTGTCAATAATTCTGGAGGTCAGTGTAAATATTTAAGCCATGATCAAATTATAGAGGCTGTGCTATATAGGGTGTAGAAACAAATGATTTACTGTCTACTGACTACTGTCCTCTGACCAGGACTACAAATCCATGCTTTGCTAGATCTTAGCATGGGCTTGATGCTTAATTTTCTGTTCATCTAAAAATTCTCTTCTACATCAGACACTTCTTTCTTTAGATCCTATCTGACGTAAGATAGCCAGTTTAAAATAAAGAATACTCTGAACAAAAAGGCGTTTTCACTAAAGCACTACAGTATGCCATGGCATTATTTCATATCTGTCTTCATGCATTTTGTAGTCATTTCTTCTGCCAAGTGACCATGCTGTACCAACCCATTACCTTTCTTGTGATACCACGATAGCTAGCGTTCCGACCTAGAATGGGGTGAGTTAGTAACAGCGCAGACCACTGATTAGTCAGTTGCAAAAGTCATAGAATGCTCACTGGAGTGAGATGCCTGCCATTAGCTCCTGAACTGTTGCGATGTGAAACTTTGGCAATAGCATTTACTCTGATATCTCATTTGATAAACATAATTATAAGCAACATTATAACACCCACTTGCTATCCAAGTTAAGGAATTATCCTCTTTGTATGTCAACAAGAAAGCTAGTCCATACTTCTATTACTTCAAGTTTAAATAAATTTTTACCCTAATGGAGGCCAGTTAGGACAGAACACTGGCATTCTGCATTCAATACTGGGGCCTGTGCCACAGCATTAATGGTGTACTGGTGTAAGTGCTCCCCTTCACCTATAGTAATACTTTTTATGGTTTACCCCCACATTAAAAGTCACAGAGCTCTTCAGTGTGTCCCATTCTGAGATTACATGGCTGTGTTATTTTACCACTTAATGTCTGAAACCACTAACAGGCACTAAAACCATCAGAATATGGACAAATACGCTTTCTAACAAAACAGCAACAACAACAACAACAACAACAACAATGTGGCACTGAGCACCAATGTTGTAAAATAAGTCAATTATTAACTACACAATGAAAATGTTAAATATGTAAGTTTCTCAAGTGGTTATAGGTTCTTACCTGCTCTATCAAAGTCTCGCGTTCATCCACCAGTTTCCGCAGCCGGATTTCTGTAAGTTCAGCCAAGGATTTAAAGGTTAGTTTTAAACATCTTTCATGTAGATATACAGTACTGTGCAAAAATTTTAGGCACCAGAGAAAATTACATTTAAAAAGCTATTTAATTGGGCAGTTAGCATATATTTACTCAGAAAAACACTAATATTAGAACAAATGCAAATACATATTAATACAGTCAGTGCCGATTTTATGTAGTTTAATATGTTCACTTAACCATTTTCATACCTCTCTTTTATGGCAGCCCAGTATTATTTGTATTTATATAAACAGATAACACATCCTCTATAAGGAATATCCTCTATTCTATTTATTTGATAAGTTTAACATTTTTAAAACATCTATGCAAAACTCCTGTCCTGCAGAACAGCACAGCAGTTTTCCTTTGATTTTTGATATGGAGTAATGAAACCACATGCATTTTCTGACTACCACATTTTCAGTTATAAAATGCCTTTCCAAGTAAAAAAAAAAAGCAAACTTACACAGGTGCAAGGTGGAAGGTTTCAGGGCATGCAAATGGAAAGGTAAATGGGGTGAGGATGAAGGGTGAGGATGGACAGCGTGGAAACTTCAGGTGTAAACATGGAGCATCAAAAATGCAGCTTCATGCAGCAGTGTTCTTTTCACAATCATAACATCGTTCTGCATATTTACAATTTTAATAAAAAAAACAAAACCAGGACAGTTTAAGTTACAAATTATTTAATGATGAATATTTTCCACAAGAACATGAATAATCGGTCATTCACGTAAACAAAGAAAGAAAAAAAAAAAATGAAAAGCAACAAATATTTAAGCAATCATAAGAGCCTGTGACTACACACCATTCACTGCAAGTTGAATCCCTGAAATGATCTTTCATTGCAGTGTAGTCTTGCTCATAATTTCATCCTCAGTTACAGAAAGGACCACACATTTCAAAAGTAAGCAGTCACCAAAAAATTTAAAGGCAGTTAGACTGAAAGAGAGAGATAGCCTATCCATCAGAAGTCACATTTCTAGAAAAAGCTTTCTGGTTAAATATTATTAGCAACATTTAATAAAGAAGTCACTGTTTCAATAAGGCAAACACAAGCTTAGCATATAAGCTGACAGATGTTTTGTGTGTCGACTGCCAGATATATTTTGCAATGCTGATAAAGAGTGGAGTACATTTTTCTGTTAGCCATACTTTTAAAAGTGCAAAAAAAGAACACTTCAGTGTTTTAATTACCTGATTAGATACATTTCTGACAAAAGTAAAATGCTTTCTATTATTTTCTGCCTAGCTTCAGACTTGAATTAGGTTCTACAACATATGGGTGGACCCTTGACTTTTAAAAAAATGCTGGGAAAAAAAACATTGTGTACTACTATGTACTATAAACTTCTTAAGTTAATTACCTTTGGAGTGAGGCTTTGAAACTCTTTATGAAAAGGTTAAGAAAACAAGCACCATACCCTTAGCTATAGTACTAGGACATTTTGCAGTCTTCCCTACTCTTGCCTTTCCCTTTCTTGTTCTCAGTTTCGGAGCCTTTCTTTGAATCTTCTTTATTTATCCCAGTTAGAACTGCGTGCTCTCCTAAATTCTGACCTCCTCCTTGGATAATGGAATCAATGGCCTTCAGACCTAATTCTACCACTTCTGAGTGTGGTTTATCAAGGTTCTGGAAATTGTTTCCTGTGTCACTCTCTCGTCCTACACTGTGCTCAGTATCTTTCATTTCTAGATGTTCTTCTTCATTTTCTGGTATGTCTTGTTGCTGATGTGCATGATATTTTTCTTCTGTTTTGACCAGCTGATCCTGTGTTAAACAGCCCTCTCTCTTGATTGAGGTTTGTTGTTCCCCTTCAGACCTTTCATTGGCCTGCTCACATATCTGTAGTTCTTGGGCTGCATCTGTATCTGCATCTTGAGCATCTGTAATTTCCTGTGGTTCATTGTTCTTACCCGTCTGCTCCTGACCAGTGGTGAAGGGATCACTTTCCTGTTCCTGCCAAGCCTTGTTTTTTTCTTGCAATTTTTCTTTTGACCCAATAACCTCCTCCTTTGTTTTCACAGAGAAACAGTTTGGCATAACACTTAATGATTCCTCCAAAACAGTATCAGCACTGTGCTCAGTATCCTTAATTTCTAGATGTTCTTCTTCATTTTCTGGTATGTCTTGTTGCTGATGTACATGACATTTTTCTTCTGTTATGACCAGCTGATCCTGCGTTAAACAGCCCTCTCTCTTGATTGAGGTTTGTTGTTCCCCTTCAGACCTTTCACTGGCCTGCTCATATATCTGTAGTTCTTGGGGTGCATCTGTATCTGCATCTTGAGCATCTGTAATTTCCTGTGGTTCACTGTTCTTACCCGTCTGCTCCTGACCAGTGGTGCAGGGATCACTTTCCTGTTCCTGCCAAGCCTTGTTTTTTTCTTGCAATTTTTCTTTTGACCCAATAACCTCCTCCTTTGTTTTCACAGAGAAACAGTTTGGCATAACACTTAATGATTCCTCCAAAACAGTATCAGCATTGTGCTCAGTATCCTTCATTTCTAGATGTTCTTCTTCATTTTCTGGTATGTCTTGTTGCTGATGTACATGACATTTTTCTTCTGTTATGACCAGTTGATCCTGCGTTAAACAGCCCTCTCTCTTGATTGAGGTTTGTTGTTCCCCTTCAGACCTTTCACTGGCCTGCTCATATATCTGTAGTTCTTGGGCTGCATCTGTATCTGCATCTTGAGCATCTGTAATTTCCTGTGGTTCACTGTTCTTACCCATCTGCTCCTGACCAGTGGTGCAAGGATCACTTTCCTGTTCCTGCCAAGCCTTGTTTTTTTCTTGCAATTTTTCTTTTGACCCAATAACCTCCTCCTTTGTTTTCACAGAGAAACAGTTTGGCATAACACTTAATGATTCCTCCAAAACAGTATCAGCACTGTGCTCAGTATCCTTAATTTCTAGATGTTCTTCTTCATTTTCTGGTATGTCTTGTTGCTGATGTACATGATATTTTTCTTCTGTTTTGACTAGCTGATCCTGTGTTAAACAGCCCTCTCTCTTGATTGAGGTTTGTTGTTCCCCTTCAGACCTTTCATTGGCCTGCTCATATATCTGTAGTTCTTGGGCTGCATCTGTATCTGCATCTTGAGCATCTGTAATTTCCTGTGGTTCACTGTTCTTACCCGTCTGCTCCTGACCAGTGGCACAGGGATCACTTTCCTGTTCCTGCCAAGCCTTGTTTTTTTCTTGCAATTTTTCTTTTGACCCAATAACCTCCTCATTTGTTTTCACAGAGAAACAGTTTGGCATAACACTTGATTCCTCCAAAACAGTACCATGACGTTCGAATGACTCTCTACATTCCACCACATTTTCCTCTACTTTGGATTCCGGAGCTGGATCTGTGGGCTCTTGATATTCTTTGTCCTCTCCAGGAAGTTTTATTGCAGTCATAACTTGATATTGTTTATTAATTGAAGAGCTGTCTGTAGACATTTCTGCACTACTGTAATTCATTTCCAGGGTATTCCCACTCAAATCTTCAAAGCACGGCTTTAGGTATTCGTCATCAGCTGTGATATAACATCCATGCTGGACATCCCCTTGAGTTGCCTTTTCATCTTTGACTGCTTTGACAGATTCATGTTTCATTTCATTAAGACGAGCGATCTGGTCATCGGTTTTTAGTTCTGCTGACACATTTGCCTCCTGGGTCTCTTCTTTCTCATTTTTAACCTGTAAAGAATTTTCTGTCTTGTCCGATGACTCCAGGAAAACACCACAACTGGAAGCAACATCAGTTCTTGACTCAGGGCTTTGTAGTTTTACACAATCTACACCTTTGTTTAGTGGTTGAATCATTCCTTCATCATCCAAATTAGTTGTGATATGTTCATTTACTACCATGTCCTCTGAGGGTTCTACGAACTGAGAGTTACATTCTGGATTTGTCTCCCTTATCTGGACTGGACTAGCCGTTTTTAGTTGGTTTTCATTCTTTTCCTGAGACTCTGTATTGCCCTCTTTTTCATCACAACATTGTTTCTGTTTTTGTTTGTTTTTCTTCTTCTTTTTCTTCTTTTTGCTGGGAATACTGGCACTTTTGGACTGTTGCACTTTTTCATCTGTTCTTCTTGACTGTTCTTCAGTTTTTTTGTCTTGAGCATCTCCAACCACTGTTTCAGCTGGTTTATATCCATGTTCTGGGGATACCAATGGTACCTCACATGCATAATTGGCGAAACCAGGATTTCCCTCTTTTATTACCTCAGTGATTTTAACAGAAATTAAGCTCTTATTCTGATCGGCAATCTCAGGTCCCTCAGTAAGGGGATCAGGCTCTAGCTCCCCAAATTTACCTGATTTATGTGAGTTGTCCCCTACAACCTCTTTCTCTTTTTTAACTTCATCCTTAAACCTTGATGTTGACATTAGATCCTCAGGGTCAAAAACGACATTCTGAGATTTTTCAACATTATTTTGAATTTGCTTTAAGTCATTATTTAAATACTTCCAAAGATGCTCATTGTAATTTTGTGTTGCTAAAGGAGCCTCAGAAGAACTGCCATATGCATGTGGTGGCAGATGATTCCCCTGCATTCCATGATCCAAATCCTTTGGGTGTTGGTCTTTGCCTCCTCTGCAGCCACCTACATTTTCACCTCTAACCAGCTGCATTTCCTGAGTGCCTGGGAGATGATTGAGGAGTCAGTTCCAGAGACCACAAGAAATGTATATGCTGGCAATTATTTGCGTTGCGAATATTTACAGATAAAGTCAAAATCAGTAAGGAAGAAGAGGAGTGGAGCCCTGAGGCAGAGCCTTTGATCCGATTAAGATACCATTAAGATAAAAGTGCATGTGAAATGTTTACTGTGGTGTCAAACTGTGAACAAGATGACTTTAAATTTTGGAATGCAATACAATAAGTTCACAGAATAAAGGTAAAGTTTATATTTTAAAAGCACTACAGTTTGTCTTAATATTAAGTATAAAGTCATTCCTAGAGTAGCTATTAAATAACACCAAATAAACACTTCTGAGCACAAATCAAGATAAATGCCGATGTTGCAAAGTATCGTCCAAAAGCTGTACATTAACAGTAGGTAAAATATATGCATGATAATATGCAACACTTATATAAAATCTTTTTTTATGGATTTTATATAAAAAAAAATTAGGTTTGCAAGATGCAAGATACAGCTCCTGCAAGATATGGCTGTTTGCTATAAACACTGCTAGCAAAGGTTAGGGATAGCTTTGGCCTTCTTAGGCTAATGGCACTGGTTGTGGGAATGACATGGGAGATTAAGTAAAACTGAGCACTGAAAATATTAGGATAGCAAAATAAAAGAACCAAAATTAGGTTAGACTATGGTAATCATAAACTAAATAAAGCTTAAACTGACAATGTTCACAACACTCTTCACTTTGCAGATGCATATAAGCCTAAAAGGTACAACTTTTGGACAAGGAAGGCAAAACTACCTGCATTACTCTTGCATATAATCAGCAAAGCAGAAGCAGTAGGAATTCCTTTTATTATTTTTTAAAAGCTTCCGCTCTGTCTGACAACACTGAAAAGCAAACTGCAGTAGTTGACAAAGCAGCTAGGTATTCTTTGTTGGAAAGAATACCACGTGAAAATGCAAGTAGAGCAGTAAGAGATTATTTTCAGAAACAAACACAGTGAACATGCAGGCTTAGTCTAGGTTTGCACAGTAAAAGACCAAATCTTGGCATGTAGCATATAGCATCTACAGTGCAGAAAAGCTCACCTAGCACACTGCTCCCCTCTTTTACTTCAGTGCAAGTTGATCCATCAGTCACATCGTCTCCCACTTCCCTAATGGTGCTTAAGTCAGGTCCGAGGACAATGCCATGTTTCTGAATATAAATATTTGAAATTGTGACATAAGATTCAGCTCACAAAAGTTAGCTTAATGTTCTATCACAGAATTCTATCTGCTGATACGTGAAAACACCAAAGTTTCAATAGATTGGGTAATGCTTTACATTTGGGTTCCCTTAACTAACATTATTTACTTATTAACATTAACAAACCCTAAACCTCAGCATTATTAAACCATACATAACACAAACAAAATAGTTAGCATTTGTATGATTTGATATTTATTTAAATGTTAACCAAATAGCAAACATAATATCCCAAATGAATCGTGGGTTCTAACAATTACAGTGACCTGAGTTGAGCCGATTATCAGCATTTGAAGACTTCACACACATGCACAAACACACACACATATATGTGTGTGTGTGTGTGTGTGTGCGCGTCTGTGTGTGTGTGTGTGTGTGTGTATATATAGCATCTAATACCTCCACGAACACGAATAACAGCTGCAGTTCGATTTGGCATGGTCTTAACAAGTTTCCGGGTGTAGGCAACATCAATGTTCAGCTGCTCTTACATCAAAGAATTGTGCAGTTCGGCCAGATATTGTGGATGCCTTCCCTGACGTCTTACTCGTTGTTCCAGGTTGTCCCACAGATTTTCAAGAGGATTCAAATCTGGGGTTTATGCAGGCCAGTTTAGATGTGAGAATCCTCCTGAATGTTCATCATGCCAATCAGTCACATTTGCAGCCCTGCAAACATGAGAACTGTCATCTTGAATACAGGAATAGGAATTGTTCCTCGGTAAGATGATGAGCAAAAGGCAAAACCCGGTTGTCCAGCAGCTCAGTGTAGGCACTGTGGTTCAAATTTACTGCCACCTCAACCAATTACCCATTTCTGCATCATTAAAACACCCTCAGAACATCACAGCTTGAACCACACCTTGCACGCAGTCCTCACTGCAGGCTTCCTTAAGTCTATGATGAACATGATGCCTAGCATTATTCACATACAGGCAGAAACGAGATTCATCCGACCAGATAACACAATTCCAGTCATGAACTGTCCAATTTTTGTGTCTTCTTACCCCCGGAACCAGGCAACTTTGTGAGCAGAAGTAAGCAAAGGCCTATTGCATACTATTGTGCTCCATACGTTCATGGTAGTTTTCTTTCATAAATTGGTTGTAAAGGATCTTCGTTGACTTCTAGAAGCAATTCTTGCCTGGAAGCGAAGCAATTTTTATTCACAAGTCGTGAAACGCCGGTGGTCCCTGTTTGTCAGTTTTGTCTTTCAGCCACAATTCTGAAGAGAATTTCCTGTAGACTGGGATTTTTGCCATTGCCGGTAGACCCGTATGACTGTGCGCCTCGATACACCTGCAAATTCAGCTACTTCCTTCACACTATGGCCTTTGGCACGTGCTAATGCAATCAATCCTTTTGGCCAATCATTAACATTTGGTCTGTGACCCATTTTCCACACATCAAATGAGACATTCACTGCACTGTACCCCCTTTTCTCAATTTATGAATCCCGTTGCATACCCAGCAGGTATTTATAGCCTGATCATCCTTGTGCAACACCATCTGCAGGAGCCTGACGTTACTACCACCTTAAAATCAGAGTCCATTCCTCCATAGAGAATCTCTCCAGGTCCTTCAGATTCTGAGGTACTTGTAAACTCTCCTGCTCAGCCCATCCCACAGGTTTTCTATGGGGTTTGATCAAGGGACTTAGATGGCCAGGGCAAAACCTTGATTCTGTAGTCAGTGAACCATTTTTGTGTCAATTTCGAGGTGTGCTTTGAATCACTGTCTTGCTGGAAGATTCAAACATGTCCGAGCTTAAGCTTCCCAGTTTGGGCAGTCAGGTTTTAATTTCATATCATCTGGTATTTGGTGGAGTCCAAGATGCCGCATCATCACAGATCCACCACCATACTTCACAGTGGGTGTGACATACTTTTCTGCATTGGCTATCTTTGTGTCCATGCCAAACCCATCTCTAGTGTTTGTTGCCAAAAGCTTTATTTTGGTCTCATCTGACCATAGAACACAGTCCCACGGTGGTGATCCTTGGAGATTCTTTGGCCAATCAAGCCATACTCTTCATCGTGCATGTGGTCAATATGAACATACATCCTCTTTGCATTTCTCCAGTTGTTTTAAACTTCATTATTGCCCTGATAGTGGAAATGGACATTGTTAACTGTTTAGCTATTTTCTTGTAGCCAATTCCTGATAAGTGCCGTTCAACAACCTTTTGTCACACATCACTGAAGTGTTCTCTGGTCAGTCTCATAGTGATGGATGAATTTGGCCTGTGTGTCATCTCATGACATTTTATACTAGTATTTACACTATTTTATAGTGTAGGGGTCAGCAACCCAAATGTTAAGAAGAGCCATTTTGTCTGTTTAACAAAAATCAAACCTCTATTTTACCATCTTGGCTGTAAATATGTCTCTCAGCTGTTAACTCAGCTACAGCCACTGTTCTCACATTTCCGGCAGTTCTCACATCCCATTCGACTTTTTACGAGGCTGAAGTCAACTTCTCATTTGCCAGCTTCTTGTTCGAATTTTCCTGTTCCACCTTAAATGGTGCCTGAGGTGCCAGAATGTCCCTGCTGCACCATTTAAGGTGGAATGGGAGAATTCCAATGAGAAGCTGGTACACGAGAAGCTGACTTTAGCTTCTTGACTTCTTAGTGTTTGACAGTTTCTCACTGCAGATTAAACATTTCAGGAAACCAGCTGGATTGCTTATAAATGCAAATAAGTGCATCCATCTCAGAATTGTCGATGTCCGTCTTAAATCTTTCTATTTGCCGTTTAAGACCATTTAGTGTTAAAACTGTGTTAAAATGATCAGCAGAACTTTATTTTACTGCAAAGGAGGATTATTTTACTTTCACCTAAAAATCTAATTCTGTTTTGGAGCTGCAACAGGACAGTAAAAGAGCCGCTTGTTGCCAAACACCTGCTCTAGTGAAACAGGAAGTCATGGCTGACCATGTAAGTGTTCCTAATCGCTCAGGTGAACTGCCTAATGTGGTGGTTTTTAAATTGTTTTTTGGATTTGCGATGATGACAGCTGACATTAGTATTAGCAATTGCCTCTTCACTCAAGAGGAAGTGGACTTCGGTGAATAATAAGTGATGGACCCCAGGACATACAACTTAAGTCTGCAACCCAAATTCACAGCTGCTTTCTGTTGGAATGTGGCCATATTACAGTGCCCTCAACAAATAACGGCACCCCTGGTAAACAAACATCCCATTTTGTTTCATTCAAAATATTAACCAAAAAATCTAACCTTTATTTGCACAATGATTAAAATAAAAATTAAATCTCATCATGAAATAAATATTTTTCCTCACTTTACACTGGGATACACTGGCAGTTTGACACTGGGAGTTCCCACACACTGGGAGTTTGACAGAAACCACCCAAGGAGGAAACTATGGGGGACAGTTTGCTCAACCGATGGTTGAGAGCTAGCCTTTATTTGAACAGACCACCACAGCAGAGAAGTAAGTTGACCAATGAGAGAAGTTCCTCAAACTGGTCAATATTCTCACTCTTCAGAGCTAAACATGAAATTAAGGTCAACATTCAATACAAAAGTAGGCTGATAAATACAGTGTAGAGCATATAACTAAACTAAACTAATTTTTGTTTTTCAATTTTTATTCCACATAAAATGACTGATGTTTATCAAAAACAGAAACTTCGGAAAAAAACTCAGCAAGTCAAACCATGTTGGAACTTGCTATTTACCCTAACTTATTAACTCCTTGAATTAACCAATATCTAGAACATCTTAATCAGTAATGCCTTAATCAGTCAGGGCAGATGTTCATTATTTAGTTATTAAACACTGTTTTCTTCATTAACATTATTTACGGTTTATTACGGTTTGTTCATAGTTTGTTAATAACAACTAATTATATAAATAATATTAGTTAAAGGAACCTTAACATAAAGCATTATATAGATGACATGGTTTTGGTTCTGAAGTTCACATTTAGTACAAAGTAAAGAAAATGTAATACACTGGATGAAAACATTTCTTTAGTCTACAAACATTGTCTGCACCGAAATGACTATACATTTTGACATTACATTTAAATACCTTCAAAATGTCTCTGAGCTGAACCACCTCATCCCTGAGCTCATCTCGCTCATTTCGAATGGCATCAGAATACTCCTTCTGCCTTTCTAAGGCCTGAGCAGCACCCAACAGAGTTTGGCAAAGGTGAGACCAGTTAGGTAAAGGAGAGTTCAGTGAAGGAAATTAAAGACAGAGAATGTGAGGAAGAGTACTAGGGGTGTTTCAATCTAAGGATTTTCTTAGTTGTTGATTAATCATACCCACTTTGTAACCCACAAATTAGTAAATATAAAAAGAAATAATGCAGTTAGTCGACTGACCGAATATTAGTCTATCAAAATGCTATGAATGATTAACTGACTAGTGAACTTAGCAGGGACCGCCTTATAGCATACAGTACGTGCTCACAGATATCAAGCAGACTTACAGCAAATAATAGTACAGCTTGGTCAGAAAATAGTGTACAATACGAAAGTGTTTTTTTTTATCTTTAATGAAACTTGTTATTAGATTAACACATTCAAATCGCATACCCCAATTTTTTTATCCTTCCATTCAATAGTTTCCTGCAGGTCAGAGACCTCCCTAACAAAGTCGTCTTGTCTGAGGCGTAATTGACGTATCTCCTAGTACCAGTACAAAATACAGAGGCAGAAGGTGAAAGAAAAAAAGCAACAAGAACAGAAGGAAGTGAGAACAGAAAGAGTTAATAAAACAATGAAAGCTTCTGAAATGGCAATGAGTTGGAGGAAAGTCCTTAAGTACAATAATTAAACTCATACTCACAGTAAGAAGCTCTTCACTTTGCTTCAGTGTTTCTTCCAGTTCGCTGAACTTAAACTGCAGTATACTGTGGGCATGCTTCTCTCGCTCCAGATCCTGCGACAGAATTAATGTTTATTATTTTTTTTAGCTTACTTTAATATGATATTAAATAATATTAAATAATAATAATATTAAAGACATCACTAGACATCACAGAAGTCAAATTTGCTGTATTCTCCCATCTAGAGAGGCTAGAACTAGCGTGCCAATATTATCAGCTGATATAAGCTAGTGGCAGATAAATAGGTATTTGCATTTACAATGACCGATAAATGACAATTTAAAAAAAAGAAATGGAGACATCCTTTAACCATGTTATGTGTGTTGTCGTAGGATAGTGTGTCCATCACTGGGCACTTTGCAGCTTCCCTGTTGGAAACACAAACGCGTTTGGAATGTCACAAATTACAATAAGCAGAGTCAAGTACTTGACGAAGGAGATCTGCATCTGCGCTCATGGTAGGTTGATAAGCGTCACGTAAAATACATTACTTAAATAATAATAAAAATATCCCCATCACTTCTCCTCTTAACCTAAATAAACCTGACAACATTCATGCCAGCCATGCCTGTTGTTGCTGCCGTAAAGTGAAAGCCGGTACTGTCAGGTAAACGTTATATTTAACATGTTTAACATTACAGTAGTACAGTGGTGTAGGCTAAGCTGCTGATAAACTTGATTGTAGATTTACTTATGAAACAGTTGCAGTTCTAGCGAGTAAACAAAACAACGGTCCTATATTTTTCCCTAGCTTGTCACTTCTAAAAATTCTTGAACAACATAGCTTACTGCAGTTTATAATAGTGTGCATTGCTAAATTAGGTTGCCCACAAAGCTAACTAATGCTGTGCTTATCAGTGGAAATAATTTACATTAATGTGCGCTCAAACTATAGTGTTTAACTTATTCTGCCTAAATGACCAAGCTGAAGTCAGCTTCTTGTTCAAATTTCCCCGTTCCACCTTAAATGGTGCAGCAATTACATTCAGGTACCTCACGCTATGTTCACTTTTTCAAAATGGATAGTAGCCGTTTCACTGTTTGCTCGATCTTTGAGGAATGAAAAAGATCTTACTGCACTTGAAGACACTCAACCCGTTTCTCGTGCGGAGCTGCATCTCCAAAGTCAGCTCAGACTAAGTTACAGAGATCCAAGCTGTGAGTGAAAGTTTTAGCTCCTAAAATGATGTGGAGAAACTCCCCGCTTTCCTTTTTGCTTTTCCAAAACAGAAAGCATCCTGCACTCTGCTGCAGTTTGCCTGTTTTGTAAATAGTAAAGGACATTCTCGTAGATATTCTGTCTGCCTTTTTTGCAGCACGAACAAGTTGACGAATTTCCATACAATAATTGTGTTGTGTCCAGTGTGTGTAGTCTGCTGCGAAAAAATATTTTGCATTTCTTTTGAATTTTCCCGTTCCACCTTAAATGGTGTCGCATTTACATTCGGTGCCTCAGGCAGAATTTAAGGTGGAACGGAAATATTCGAACAAGAAGCTGGAGAATGAGAAGCGACTTTCAGCCTCGTAAAACAGTCGAACGCTGAGAGACATTTTACAATAAGCTGCTCTAGTTTTGAATAAAAGTTTTCTGGCGGAGATGGGAGGAAAGTGGCTATTAAAGCTTAAAGCAGAGCAAAGTAAGTCTGCGCTCTCGTTTATATTTTTTAGCCTACACTAGGACATTATCACATACTGAGACACTGGACATAAAATGTTGTGGCTCCCAAGCTGGTTTGATTTTTGTTGAAAGGACAAAATGTCTCTTCTTAACATTTGGGTTGTGACCCCTGATCTAACCTGGCTTTAATGCAGAGGGTGCCGGTCGGATTTCTCGCTCATCCAGTGTTTTTTTTGTTATGTGCCGCCACAGACTGTCCGGGCGCTGCACTTCCGCACTTCCAAGTTCCGCCTTTTGCATTCCGTCAACATTACGTTATAAATTAAATATTTAGAAAATCGATTTTTGACATTTGACATTTGTTAATCGATTCAGAATCGTTCAGTTCCGCATCGCGATGCATCTAAGAATCGATTTTTTCCCACCCCCTAATATATATATATATATATATATATATATATATATATATATATATATTTATGTATATATATATATATATATATATACACATACACATACACACACACACACACACATATACACACATATATATAGAAAGAGAGAGAGAGATAGATAGACAGATACGTATATTCATATATACTGTTGATATAAATATACATTACTTAATATGATGAAGTATCAAATGAGTAATGATACTTATGATAACCATAAGTAATATTGGGCTGTCACAAGGGAGGTTTGAACAGGGTTAAACGAACACAGTGACATAGGTAAAAACATTACTTAATAGTATTTGTATTTATTCTAATCTTAGTGTCTTTGAATAAATAAATGTTTATTGCCCAGATAAAACGCTTTTTAAATCTTTATTGGACAAAAATATAAATTAAATAAAATATATAATATATATGAAATTATGCATATGAAATACATATAGTACATATGCCACTCATACATGAAACATATGTATAAACATATATGAAACACTATACACAATATAAACACTTGCAAGGCCAAACCCCCAAAATCACCGCCTAGGCCATCTAGGAAGATCTGGCTGGCTAATGATGTACTGGCCCACGTTTTTACAACCATCATCTACGAAGAAGGATTATCAGAAGGTAACTTTAACTGTGATGTCATCGCAAAAGTCAATGTCTGAAGTATGCAACAATACCTCCAATACCATAAACCAGAGGCATTTTGAAACCAACTGCTGTGCTGAAACAAAAAGGGCCACAATTCCCAAAGCTATGCTTGAAGAAAAACAGAGCAGCATTTCATGACAATGACTGTTATGCATGAGGGTGGCTCTATTATACCTTGGGGTTCTGCGGCAGTCAGTGGCATAGGAAATGTTGTGGGGATAGAAAGAAAGGATTCTGCTAAATACCAACAAGTCTTGCCCCACAGTCAGTTAAACTGAAGAATCTGGATACTACAACAGGACAATAATCCAAAACATAAAAATCAAATCAAGAGATGTACATGCCAATTTTGTATGTTCTTATATTTTTATATTAAATTCAGCACTTTACATTTCAATTTGCAGAAATAAGTCATATGTCAGCCTTAATGATCGCTCCACTAAAGACACCATAACCACTGCCATTCACCTATCCTTATCACACTTGGACAACAAGGACACTTGCATTAGAATGCTGTGTATCGGCTTTGGCTAAGCATTCAACGCACACATTCCCAAGAAGCTGGTCTGCAAAATCCACTCACTTGGACTAAGCTCACCTCTCTGTAACTGGGTTTTAAACTTCTTGAGCAACAGACCTCAGACAGTCCTCCAGAACACCAGAGTTCTCCAGGGGCCTTTGCTGTACATCCTCCTCACCCACAACTTCATCGCCGGACATCACAGTAAATCACATCATCAAGTTTGCCGGCAACACAACAGTAGTGGGGCCCATCTCTAAAACTATGAGACTGCTCACAAAGAGTAACTGAGAGAACTGAAGTTCTGGTGCAAGGACAACACTCTCTTTCTAAATGTCACCAAGACAAGGTGGACAGATGCCTTAGAAGAAGAAGGAAACAGATGCCTTACACCCCTCTGCACATTAGTGGTACAACCATGCACAGTTTCAAGTTCCTGGGAGTATATCACTTACAAACTGTCCTGGCCCCTGAAAACCTCCTTCTTAATGAAGAAAAACATAAAAGCCCCTTAGCTAAAGAGCCTAAAGAGGGCCAGCTTGCGCATCCTCAACTACTTCTACAAAAGCATAATAGACAGCATCCTGACTTGCAGCATTAATGTTTGTATGGAAACTGCACCATCTCAGACAGGAAAAACACTGAAGTGGGTAGTGAAGTCTGTCTGGGGGGTCAAGCTTTCCAGCCATATTTATACTAAATATCATACAGAACAGTTTACCGTATACCGTTGGCATAGTTTGTCTGTACTTATTGTATTTATTGTCTGCCTGCCTGCACTGTTGTCTCCTGCTGTTCCAAAGTGGGGTTCAAAACTCTGAAACCATGTTAAAAATGTGGGATTTTTTTTTTTTATTTAATCGACCAATCAATTTTGAAAAATTTTAAACAGAAAAAAGTTCAAATCAAATCAAATCAGATTTATTGTCACATCACAAGAGTACAAGAGTTATGGCAAGTAAAATGAAGATAGTCAGTATTCTGCACTATTTCACATTACTTCTAGGTTGCCATTCAAATTGGATCAAATTTGTGACACTGACCATGTAAAGGCTTTTGTACAAAAAAGCAAGTTTTTTAGTTCGATCCCTTCTATTGAAACATATGTTGAGTCGACTCTTTGATTTGATGTACTTATCAGAGGCTTTCACAGAAACTTGTTGAGCTTGACTGCATGCTGTCATTAAAGCAAAGGGAGGACATTCATGTAAAAAATTTCTACTTTTCACTCAAATTATTTATGCTAATATTATAATTTTAGCATAATTAAATTAAAAAATAGAAGCATTTTCACTAGTAATCTCAGAGTTTTGGACTCTACTGAATGTTTAAATATAGCACCATGTCCTGGAGAAAGTATATTTCGTTCTTCTCTCAACACAAATACAAAATATTGGATGTTTTACATAGTCAACTTCTTTGTTTTTTACTTTATCTCTGCACAGCTTTCTCTTTTTTTGATCCTCACCCTCTGTGTGTTTTAGCGACGCACCCCGAAAGTGGCCGAGGTTGTTAAGGGAAGAGGTTCGGCTCACTGTAATAAAAATACAGAGTTAACTTAAATAGGTCAAGGCTAAAGCACATTTAGACAACATACATTCACTGTAAGTGTCCTGACCTTTGAATAACAGGGTGAACGGGGGCTAATAAAGTACAGAGAGGAACAGATGGAATTGTGTGTGTAATTGTAGGACTACAAAGTCCTATAGGACTACAAAGTCCTATATGTTAAGTACAGCTGATAGAATAGACAATAAGTGCAGCTACAAGGTCAGTGTACCTGATAAAGTGCTCAGTGAGTGTATAAATAAAAATAGAAAAATACAAACTCCTTTCTAAAACAAGCACACATGAATCTTTGCCACGCTCAAAGTATTACAATGTTTAATTTTTGTTTTTAGGAGTGCACTTCCCACATCCTAGGATGTCCATGCTCATTTCAACATGACAATGCTAAACCACATTTCTTTGTTTTTTGAACAAATTTTGGAATGACCGTATATTTACAAAAAGCAATAAAGTTAACCAGGTACAACATGTTTTTGAACCATTTTCAGTTTAATACAAGTTAAAAAGAATTTGCTAATCAACAGCTTTGTTTTTATTAGCATTTTTTTTTATTAGTTTTTTAATGTATTTTCAGCTTTAGACGAGGAGAAAACCAGTTAATCTTTTAACATAACTGAGGCTTTACGTTCAAACACTAGCACGCTGATAACAAACTGAAGGATTAAAGCAAATATAATAAACACAGTAGAGCTGCCCGTTTTGTCAGCCAGCAGGAGATTGGCTAATATTGTGGCCAGATTCAAACAGTCGCACTAATCTGTCGAGGCTTAAGTCAGTTTATTTAAATTTCCGTTCCACCTTAAAAAATTTGGCAGTTGCACGCTATCATTTGTCTGGGCATCTGAACGCAACTGCTACATCATTTAAGGAGGCCATGGAACTGAAGCTGTCTTCAGCTTCATCTAATCTTCTGTATGAGTCTCAGTTACAATCAACAAATCTGAGCTGTATCACTTGAGGTAGGGGGCCACTGGTTTAACCCCTAAATTACTACAGACATACACTTGGATGTACTATAATTTTCAGCCTTCTTGATCTTATATGTGTGAATTTATACATCAGCTCACAGTAAGCAGCCCACCGGGAATTCTCCCGACTCTCCCGACAACCCTCTCCGGCACTGAGTAGGCTTTCTTTTTTTTTATTCCTTTGCTCACTGCTGGTGCCTGTAAGCGTGAAAGTAGCCAATCACAGATTTACTCCGCTCCCCCCTCCCCAGCAGAATTCCAAGGAAATTTAGACGCTATGTCACTTGTGCTGTAAGGGAAAGGAATGTTCCAAACCACTGCTACACAACTATTAAAGATACATATCGTGCCAACACACAAGGCACTTCGACCTAATCCCAACATACAGGCAAAAAAATCAAACCATAAAAACAGGAAAGAGGTAAACAAGTGGATGTACTGAAAAGCCACAGGATGGCTTTGAATCCACAAATTAGACTTTTGGTTTTTAGTCCTAGCACACGTGAAGGCTATTACAAACCCTTTGCAGGATTTCCTGCAGTTCAGGTCTTTTGATGATGCAACTGGCCCTGCATTTCCTGCTACAGCATTTTGACAGTCCAGGAACCTATGCTAAAGTTCTGTTTGTGGACTTTAACTCAGGTTTTAACACCATAGTGCCAGAACTGCTGCAGTTCAAGCTATCCCAGATAACTGCGCCAGATTTCATCTGTCAATGGATCATGCATGTCCAGACAAGACAGCAGGTGTGATTAGGAAAACACAATAGATCCTCAGTAATGGAGTACCACAAAATTATGTGCTCTCACCCCAGTTGCACGACACCTTGACACCATCTTGGTCATCATAATGATCATAATTAACTGTGATAAAAGAAAGTTCAGCAGCTGTTGCCCTAGTGCAGTTACAACCACCTGATGCTGAATGCTCAAAAGATCCCCTTATTCATCAATGGCTCAGTTGTTTCTAGTGTGGAAGTCACTGAAGTTCCTGGGCACCACCATATCCAGCCACCTGAATCTGAAGTGGGAAGGAAACACAGTCTCCACAGCCAAGAGAGCACAGCAGAGAATGTTTTTTGAGGTAGCTGAAGACATTCAACTTGCTGCCAATCCTGATGATCTAGTTCTACACAGTGATCATCAAATCCATCGTCACTTTCTCCAGCTCACAAGAGACAAACTCCAGCGCATAATCAGGACAGAGGAGAGGATCATTAGACATAGACTGCCAACCCTTTAGGATATATACAACAGAGCCCTGAAGCATGGCTGCCTACATCATATGATCCTCTTCGCTGCCAACGCTTCAGGACATATACAACAGCAGTCATGAAGCAAGATTACAGCTCACATCTTGGCTATCACCTCTTCTAGCCGCGTCCCTCTGGTAGAGGACTCAGGGCAACCAAATGCAACACAACTAGACATGCTAACAGCTTTTTCCCCAGAGAAGTAGCACTCAATAACTGCAGAGGGAACCTTGCTCTTTAAACTTAAACTCAACCTAGCAAACGTCCCTTACTGTATAACTCCTCTACACAATAATGCTTATTAGTACCATAGTTACTGTCTTATTTACTTTTGTAGTCTGTCTATTTAGTGTTACAGCTTGTACATATGTATACTCACCAAGACAAATTCATTTTATGTGTGAAATAAAGTGAGTCTGAAAACAGCTTCAGGATTAATTTATGCAGTAAATCTTAGTACACACTCCAACACATACCTTACTCTTCTCCTCAAACTCTCGGCGAGTCTCAGCAAGCAGCTCCTCCAGTTCCATCAGTGAGTCTTTTAGAGTGTCCACCTGATACATCAGATTGGACTTCTCATTGTCTAACTGAGCATTGGACACCATGGCTTTCCGATACTTCTCCTCCATCTCTGCCAGGGAATCCTAAAAAGGATGCGACAGTTTTATTTTTGTATATTTACAAGCACACTGGCATTTACTGTATATTAACAAGCACACATTCATTTACAAAAATGTTAAATCAATATTAGGTAATCTGTCAGCATAAAAATGCCATCTAAGGCATCTTTTTAAATTGCCATTTAGGCCTGTCACAATTATTACATAACTGCCTGATTGCAATTATTTGAGCTGATTACTTAAGCTCACTGTAATTTTTTGGGGTGCATTTTTAACTTGCATTTCAACTTGTACTTCTGTAACTATCTGATTACAAAATGACTGGCTAAACTGTGCTGTATACCTTAATGTCTTTAAGGCTTTGCGTATACTTGGCCTCAACATCTTGTATCTGATCCTTAAGTTCATGGATATCCTAAATGAACAGAATGGATGAAAAAGTGTGAAAGAATTAAGGAAACAATGAAGAGACAGCAGTGAGAGGACAGAAAGCACAAACTGCAAAGTCAAAATTAGCAGGACACTCAACTGTGAGAAAACTGCAGCATAACAACTAAAAACTTTTTATATATTTTAAAGTTCAAATGAGCAGCCAACACTCTTAAAAATATAAGAAACGTGTCAAAAAGCATTCTATAGAGCAATGCTATAGGAGAAGCACTTTTAGTTCCCTAAAGGATTTTTCAATGAATGGTTCCTTGCAGTATCATTTTTCTAAATGAGATGTCTCAGTGTGAAGAGCCTCCTCACAGAATGTTAAGTTATTATACTAATTAACAGATTTTCTTAGAACCATTTATGGAAGCCAATAACCATAGAGACCTTTATTTTTAGAAGAGTATACACATACCAGCAGGTCCAAATCAGAGTAAGGAAAGTGAAAGAAAAAAGAAAACAGCATATTACAAAAGACTAACAGATGTTAATAATCCTGTAAAAAGTAGCAGTATAAAATAAAAGTATAAAATAATACTGTGAGAAGTGCTAAAATTTACTGGGTAAAAAAAAAAATAAATGATGATACTGCTTAATGCTGCTGCTTAAAAGAAAACAATGTGCTTTAACGCCAAGGACTGTGATTCTACACACATGCTCACACACAAAACATACACACACTAACATGGTCAGAAATATGTGGTCACACATTTGTAATACTTTTTTAATTAGCTGGTTTGGCCATTTCAGTTGCATCCATTACTAACAGAGGCAAAAAAAAATGAAGCATACAACCATAAAATCTTAATAGACAAACCAGGCAGTAAAATGGGTGAAGAGCTTGGTCAGCTGTGCATGCTGTAACTGAGAAGTGAAGATGTCCAAAAACATCTAAAACCTTATGTGAAGTCCACGTGTCATTACTATCTACTGCAGCACTAACAGTGTTAGCTCATCGCTCATCTCAAACAGTAGACTCCATTATTCAAGCTTTATCAGACATGAAAATCTACCACTTAAGCCCATAGTGAGCAAAGGACTTACGGTCATTTTTGAATAATAAAACATTTTAAAATAAACTCTTTCTGCTTGATTTTCCTCTGTTTCCTTTTTCTGAGTGTTTTAACATACTGGCATCAGTGCACTAGCTTAACCTTCTTATGAGTAAGAACTACAATCGAACAGCTTCACTAATGCTCTTGGGGCTGAATGGAAGCAAATCCCCATAGTCATAATGCCCATCATAGGTGCCAACTATGGAGGGGTTACTTGGGTTGGGTTATTAGCCCTAGCAAAACTAAAGACATTAGTGCAAAGATTATGAAAAGCCACAGGGGAGATAATGCACAGAACAGTCTGAAAACCGCTGCTATAGTGAAACTACATTTTACAGTAGTGATTTTAATCATGAACGGTCACTATGACAACCAGAACTCATAGTTTTTATCCCTGTCACATAGCGTTGCCACGGAAAAAGGTCTGAAAATGGAAACAAATCATCTTATGAATGCATATTGATTCTAGCGTTGAACAGCTGGCAACCCAAAGACAAAAAGAGTGTGGCTCATTTAGTGATGACAGTGACCATTTGTAACCTGAAGGAGGACAAACGTGCATCCAGTATCACAGGAAGAGATCTCTGTAACTGACAACTATTTAAATATTTAATAAATTAAATTGACAAGGACAATAGGAGCATTCACAAGGGATACGAGGTGATAGATGTTATTAGTTGTACAGATTATTTTAATACTGTGCTTTTAAAGACTGTTTCAGACATTCTGTTTGGACACATTTTGAGTCCGTTTCAACTTCTGGTAGGTTCTAAGTACAGTTTTCGCTGTCCGAGGCGCAGCAGCATGGCTACTACAGCTTGCATGCACTGGTGATTCACACATACAGCATTTGCATGGCTGAGCAGAGTAGCAAGAAAGGTCTACAGATATCCTTTTGCCAAACAGATAATCAAATCAGCCACTACGCTCATTATAAATATAATTTGTCAAAAAGCAGGTATATTTGTTTACCTTCGACAGCATTCTGAGTTGTGAATGAGTGACAGTTACAAACCTGATAGACCAACGATATCTGTGTGTGGCACAGAATAGTTAACTCATTTTCGTTTGACAGTCATTACTGAGAGAATTTGTATTAAAAGTTTTGTTCGTTTTTCAGTTTCATTTTTATTTATTCTAATGGCTTATTTTCTATCAGCTTATTTCACTGTATGCTGTTGCGTGACAAAAAAACAACTCCTCGTCTATTATGTAAATGCCCTGCACTTCAGTGTGGGTCTGGGAGGCTCTGCTGCTCTGTGCGCACCAACATGAACAAGAGGTAATGTTTTAAATTAAAAATCTGTTTACTTAAAAATGATATAAAGTAATACTATAGACAGATCACATTCCACTTTCCCAGTATGCAATCTGATCATACTATTATGAGACAACAGCAGTGCAAAGTGATCACATTATTTTATACATTTACATGTATTCACCCATGATTTGTTTCAGAACTTCCCCACTACACACACACAGACAAATTAAATGCCTGTCATGTCATCAGAATAGGACATCAAAAATTCCAAGCGAACCCTGGTTCATTTCACTGCTGGTGGGAACGCATTCTATGATGAAATGAGGGAATTCATCAGTAGATCTACTTGAGCTTGCTTTCCTATTCTTCTAGCAGCACGTCGGCACTGTAATGTCAGCATAATATGTCTGTTTTAACATTTCACCTTTACAGACTTTCACTTGCTCTTATGTAGTTTCTGCAGCACGAGCTGCTGTTAAATAAAATGATAGTTAAAACATGTGTTTGATTTTGGCTCATGTATCGGAGCATATTTTTGGACCTAAGTTGTTACATTCAAACTGATAAACCTACACTAAAGAAGCAGATATCTAGGTTTTTTTTATTGTTGATCGTGATGAAGCTAATCTGAAAGCCCAGTGAGTGGAGTGTGGTTTTGGCTATTTGAAACAAATAACAAAAACCCTCAAAACTAAAGAGACATCTCAAAACCAGACAATTACTTTCGAGGGAAATCCAGAGGAGTATTTTCAGTGAAAACGCAACAGACTGCAGCTCCAAATCACAGTCCAAATCTACCTTGCATATTTCTATTCTTTTTTCTCCTAGCACATTTTTTTTAACATGACCTCAAATACTGATTTCTGTGACTGAATCAAAATGGATAATCTAATCCGTTTTAGTTTTTCAGTGTCAGCACTTAAGAAAAGAAAAAAAAATGTATTCAAAGAGTTGATTTTAGTTTTCATGTGGGCCACTATGTTTTATAGTTATAAACAGGTGGAAAAGGTTGAGAACCCCTGGTGTAAAACAAGCTGTTGACAAACTACATTGTAGATTTATTCATGATACTGTGTGGCAGTTCTAGCGAGTAAACAAAACAACAGTCATATTTTTTCTCCCTAGCTTGTCACTTCTACAAATTCTCTGGCAACATAGCTTACAGCAGCTTATAATGCTGTTCAGTGCTAAATTAGGTTACCCACAAAGCTAACTAATGCTCTGTTTATCAGTGGAAACAACTAACATTAATGTGTGGTTAAACTATAGCGTTTAACTTATTCTGCCTAAATGACAAAGCTGAAGTCAGCTTCTTTATCGCCAGCTTCTTGTTTGAATTGTCCTGGTCCAGCAGTTACTTTTTGGCGCCTCACGCTATGTTCACATTTCCAAAATGGACAGTAGCCATGTCACTGTTTGCTCGAACTTATTGCACTTGAAGACACTCTGCCCGTTTGTGCTTTGCCTCTTGTGGAGCTGCTAAGACTGAGTTATGGAGATGCAAGCTGTGTGAAAGTTTTAGCTCCTAAAATGTGGTGAAGAAACACTCTGTCCTCCTTTCAAGTGGAAAGCATCCTGCACACGGTCACAATTTGCTCATTCTATGAGAAGCAAATGACATCTTATTGGCATATGAAGAATGAGTTGGATATATAAGCTGCGAGTAAAACAGTTCATGAAGTTTCAAGTCCTGAAATGCGGTGTAGACTCTCCATTCTTCTTTTGTTTTTCCAAATCCTGCACAGTTTCACAGTTTGCCCGTTTTGAAGAAGTAAAAGACCTTCTCACAGATTTTCTGCCTGTCCGCGGCACAAATATGACGAAATTTAAAAAAGCGTGTCGTATCCGCTGTGTGTAGTTTGGATATGAAAAAACGTGTCTGAAATTTCCACGTTTTCACATTGTTTTTTCACATAGCATTCATGTGTAATGACCTTAACACGGCATGTTCAGATGCTTCAGATAATTAATCCGGTTAATAATTCAATTATTTAAGCAATAATACCACAGATGTTTATTCATGTTCATAACAATACAGTGTGAAATCCCAAACTGCATTATGTCGTGTTATCTTGGTGAGGACTTTTAAATAACTACACATATCAAATGTTGGAGAAATCTTTGTTTGTTATGTATTTCTGAAGAAGAAACAAAAGAATATCAGCCAATATATCAAATATACACCACATGGACAAAAGTATTGGGACCTCTTAATCATTGAATTCAGGTGTTTCATTCAGTCCCAAACCACAGGTATATAAAATCTTCCTTTACAAACATTTGTGAAAGGATAAGTCATTTAAAAGAGCTCACTAAATTTGAGCATGGTACTGTAAAAGGATGCCACTGTTGCAACAAGTCAGTTCGGGAAATTTCTTTCTTTCCTCCTAGATATTCCACAATCAACTGTGAGTGGTATTATTGAAAAGTGGAAGCATTTAGGAACCACAATAACTCAGCCACGAACTGGCAGACCATGTAAAGTTACAGAGCAGGTCGCCGTGTACAGAGGCGCATAGTGCATAAAAGTCGCCAACGCTCTGCTGACTCAATAACTGCAGAGTTCCAAACCTCCTCTGGCATTAACATCAGCACAAAAACAGGGAGCTTCATGGCATGGGTTTCCAAAGCCAAGCAGCTGCAAGCTAGCCTTACATCACCAAGCACAATGCCAAGTGTCGGATGGAGTGGTGTAATGCATGCCACCACTGGACTCTGGAGCAGTGGAAACATATTCTGTGGAGTGACGAATCACACTTCTCTCTCTAGCAGTCTGGTGAAAGAGTCTGGGTTTGGTGAATGCCAGGACAATGTTACCTGCCTGACTGCATTGTGTCAACTGTAAAATTTGGTGGAGGAGGGATAATGCCATGGGATTGTTTTTCAGGGGTTAGCCTAGGACCCTTAGTTTCACTGATGGGAAATCTTAATGCTTCAGCATACCAAAACATTTTGGACAATTTTGAGAGAACAGTTTGAGGAAGGCCCTCTTCTGTTCCAACATGACTGTGCCTCAATGCTCAAAGCAAGGTCCATAAAGTCATGGTTGGGTAAGTTTGGCGTGGAAGCACTTGACTGACCTGCACAGATCCCTGACCTCAACCCCACTGAACACCTTTGGGATGAACTAGAATGGAGATTGCGAGCCAGGACCTCTCGTCTAACATCAGTGTCTGACCTCACAAATGCTCTTCTGCATGAATGAGCAAAAGTTGCCACAGACACACTCTAAAATCTTGTAGAAAGCTTCCCAGAAAAGTGGAAGGTGTTATAACTGCAAAAGGGGACCAACTCCATGTTAATGCTTATGGATTTAGAATGGGACGTCATAAAAGCTCCTACAGGTGTAATGTGTAGGTGACCCAATACTTTTGTCCTTGTAGTGTATCAGATTTTAAAATCCTCAAATACTGAAATAGGCATCAGTTTGAAAAAAATCCTATATCAGTCAGGTTCTATTTGAGATGTTTGGGTGTCTACACGCTGTGTGTGCGTATATGTTTAATTTATTTAATATTTAATAAAGAACAATTACATTTTCAGGAGATATTTCTGAGGTGATTAGATATAAGTGATCCACTTGCATAAGGGAAAGGGGAAAGTAAATGGAAAATAGTTTCATAAACTGGAGTTAAAAAAATTATTACAGCAGACAGCATTTAGTATTTTGTAAGTTCTCTTCTTTGAGAGAGAGGAGAAAAACCAAGCACCACTTTAGCTTCAGACCTGAAACAATCCACAGGCATTTCTGTCCATCTTTCCACTGTGATAAGACAACTCAACACTATATGTTTGAAAGGATGTGTAGCTGTCAAGAAGCTGTCACTCAGAAGTAGAAACAGACAAAAAAGAGGTAAAACTTGCAAATCAAAAAGAGCGCCTGCTGGTGTTCTCAAAACAATGGACTGACCAGCCCAAAGCCCAGACCTTAACATCACTGAATGTTTTTGAGATTACTTGGCTTATGAGAAGCAGAAAATGTAATCAACTTCTAAGTATGAACTTTGGAGGCAAAGAAAAACTGAAAGCAATTCTCCCCAAAATAGTAAAAGATGTAGAAGGCAAAGGGTAGACACACTAAATACTGAAAAATGTCCGTACTGTTTCCTGACAGAAAAAAACATCAAAAGTGTTACAGGCGATCTTTGAACTTTTATATAGATATATAAATTATAACGAATATACAATAGATAAATCAAACACATAAAAGCAAGCTACTCAAGGATTAGCTATATGATCTTGTAAAGTCTACATTTTTAGCTTTAATTTATACCATTGAATTTTAAACAGTAGTTGTATTAAACTTTAACGATTAAGCCTAATAAGGTGCAAACAGACAAAGGTACACCAGAGGGAGACAGATATGTACCTTCATTTCCTGTATAGACGTCTCTGCATCTGTAATGACCGATGAATCTCCACTTCCTCTACATGAAGTCCCACCAAGTGAGGTAAGAGTGGCAGTAGATAAAGTTGATCCCCGAGAGGAACCCTGTAAAGACAAAAAATAAATAATCTATGTGAATTGCAAATACTGATATTGGCCTTATATATGAACTGGTTTAACCATGACCACTGACCAAGCATTGGAGGAAGTATCTATGCTAACCTTTTTCAAAAAGTTTCTGTCTAACCTGTTATCCAACTATAGATATACAGAAAAATTAGAAGAGTTAGTATAGTAAAAAAGTTATGTATAGTTGGGTGCCTATCATGCCATGCCATTCAAAGACACTTTAGGATGCACATGGTTTATACTGGTAACAGGATTTTACAAAGGGTTTTGGGAAAACATCATGAGGCGTAATCTCCAAATGCTCCAAACGTCCATTGATACAGATGCTGGTGTTTGCCTTAATAAACTTAAGTTAAAACAGACCATCATGATCATCTGATCATCATGTATTGTGTCTATTGAATACACTTAAATAGATGCAATGTTGTCAATGAGCAGATTTTGTTATCTTTTGTTATGATACTTATTAAGACATGAATACATTTCTGAAGATGCCAGTGTCACATTTATATTTAATCGCGTCAAAAATAAATTTATTAGTATTATTACCATATTATTAAGAGTTAACAACAAAAAGTGCATTACACATCACATCATTTTCCTTTCATTTTTTCTTTCATTTTACGTAAAACAAACAAGCAAACATTCATACATTCAGGAAAACAGTATAGTCTTCTTACACATCTCCCTCTCTTTTATTCAAGCCACCAACACAAAACATTATGTTGTTAGAGTATGGTAAACCAAAACCCCTGCAGGACACATATTATGTAACTGAAACCATTCCTTTGTGTAGGGCCAAATTCAGCATGCTGTCACACCTCAAGCAGTCTCCTACTGATGTTTGGCAAGTCTGGGATGGTCACATGATCCAGGTCTTTGGGAAGGCAACTTCCAACAGCTGTATCCTGCAAAAGACTGACCACTGAGCTGCTGCAATTATCCTGGAAACCACCAGGAGGCATCAAACTGACTAGATTTTAGCATTCAGAACTAACCATTATCTAACTCTGAACTAAATTATCTCTGCTATTCTGTAACATTATTTTAAAAGAGAGAGAGATATAGAGAGAGAAAGAGAGAGAGAGAGAGAGAGAGAGAGAGAGAGAGAGAGAGAGAGAGAAATGTTTGACAAAGTCAGGGAGAAACTGCAGAAAGTAAATATTCAAATTTAACCATTTGACCATTAAGTTCTTCTATAATGATGAGTTATCTGTTAACTTTACAGCAACAATGACCATTGAGGTAACAGTAATGTCAACCCTATGTCCATTAAAGTGTGCATCAACTGGATACAAAATATCCTTAATCCTGATGTTTTTGTGGTGCTCAGAATCAGCCATTTAAAAAAAATTAGCCATAATAAACCCAGCCGAGTTGCCTATACTATCTGCGTAAGGTGTACAGCGCTCACCGCTGGGCTGGAACACCTGGAGCTCACTCTGGAGGACATCCTGTAGCTTGAACCCAAAAGCTCACTATACTCAGATGGCTATGAAGATGTAAACACATATCACAAACATGAGGAAAGGAAGAGGTAGAGACAATGAACAGGGAGGCAGAAAAGATGATCTAAGTGAAAGAACATGACGTAAAGGGTGAAATATGTAAACTGAGATTAGTCCCTCCAACATAGTGACTGCACAACATATTTATCATCTTGAACAAAGTGTTACATATTGTCTGCATTGGTCTTTATATTAGGGCCTAACTCTAATACTGAACTAAAAATTACCAAGACTTGTGTTAGAACATGTTCCCATGCTAAACATTCAGTCTGGATGCATTTTATATTTTTTGTGTTATTTAAACCATGCTGTTAATGATGGTGTTCTGTGTTTACCAGATAAGCCTTTATTGTTTTAAAAAATCTGTGAACCATTATCCTAATATTACTTACATTAGATCTGTCTGTTCATTACAATACAATACAAAGCATATGCATGCATACATTATGTGATTAGCTGTTTTTTGACAGTGTATCGTGTCATAAGTAAATGATTGTATTAAAAACAATAAATTATGTACAGTACTGTGCAAGTCAGAGACCACACTAACATTTATTTAATTTCTGATCAAAATGGCCATTACACATATGTCATTAATTTTTCAGCAACAAGAAAAAAGTGGAAAACATATTTAGCAGAAAACAACTCAACCACTACATATAATTTGTGGGATTTTTCAGTATTGAGTGGGTTTATCCTTCTTTTCAGGATACTCTCTTTCAGACAAAATCTGCAGGTATGGTTTTCCACACACATGCACGGTGGTTAGGAGATCCATTTTCTCCACAGCGTAAAATTATTTTGTGAAGTTTTGATTTTGTGAAGTTTGATTTTTAAACTTACTTTCCTTTACTTTCCCCTTCCATATGTTAGTGGATCATTTAATGTAATCTCCACAGAAATATCATGAAGAATTAATAACTTGTACTTAATGGTCATTTTAACTGGAAATTAGATAAATAAAGGATGGCCTCTGAAATTGCACAGTAATGTACATTTAGGAAATATCTAAAAGATTTTTTTTCTGCAAAACAATCCATTAGCGGTTAGTAGCTTCAACACAGTTTAGATTAACCACACTGTAAAAAACATCTCGTCAGATCAACCTAAAAAAATTACTTAATGCAGTAACAAGTACAACCCCATTTCCAAAAAATTTGGGACACTATGCAGAACATAAATAAAGATAGAATGCAGCGATAAGCAAATTATGCAAACCATATCTTCAAAGGAAAATACTGCAAAGATAACATATCAAATGTTGAAACAGAGAAATTTTATTGTGTTTTTTGAAAAATATATGCCCATTTTGAATTTGATGCCAACAACACATTCCAAAAAAGTCATCACCTACCTCTTCTTTTAACACTACTCTGTAAGCGTTTGGGAACTGAGGAGACCCATTGCTGTAGTTTTGAAAGTGAAATGTTTTCCTGTTCTTGTTTGATATAGGATTTTAGCTGCTCAACAGTTCACGGTCTCATTTGTTGTATTTTTCATTTCATAATGTGCAAAATGCTCTCAGTGGATGACGGGTCTGGACTGCAGGCAGGCCAGTTTAGCACCCGAACCCTTTTAATACAGAGCTGTGCTGTTGTAATACATGCAGAATGTGGTTTGGCACTGTGTTGCTGAAATAAGCAAGGCCTTTCCTGAAAAAGACGATGCCTGGATGGCAGTATATGTTGCCAAAACATGTATATATCGTTCAGCATTAATGGTGCCTTCATAGATATATATCCTATACAGTCATGAATACTGGCTGGTATACTGGTTACTGACCCGTTGCCAAATTAAACACCAGGTGTTTTTTTTTTTTTTAGTATTACACAACTTTACCTGCCTTTTGTTGCCCCCTTCCCAACTTTTTTGGAATGTGTTGTTGGCATCAAATTCAAAATGGGTATATAGGGTTTATATGATTTGCACATCATTGCATTTCGTTTGTATTTACATTTTGCACAGCGAACCAACTTGGAAATGGGGTTGTTATTGAACTAATTTTATTCAACTTAAAAAAATATTTTTTTTGAAAGAATCGTTCATTCAAAGTATTTATTTAGGATGAATAAAACTAGTTAATTTACTTGTTACTACATGAAGCATTTTTTTTAGTTAATTTGATGAGCCATTTTTTACAGTGCAATGTCAGAAAGCTTGTCCATCTTGTCATGTATGCAATTTTTTCTTACAGCACGCGAACTGGAGCGCCAAGAGCTACTGCAGAGACTTTCTTCTAAGGATCCCTAATCAGTATGAGAGACACATGAGCATAGCTGGGAAAACACACAACACCCCCCAACATACACTTTGGTTGAGGTCTGACCCCATTACCTGGAAAGCACACACAGCTCAGTGCATTTTTCCCCACAATACAACACCATCCATCTTTTCTCTGTGACACTTTTTAGTCTTTTACAAAGCTGAGATACACTAACAATTTGAGTGAGCTGAAAAATGTTTTCAATCAGGCTAATAATAATTTTACTTATCTGAAAATACATCGGCTGTTGATATTGCTGTATAGAAATCAGAAGTCATAACACAATTGGTGTACACCAAGTCAAGGCTATTATAAGCAACAGCAGCAACCTAAATCTGTGTTGGTATCAGTGTAAGAATATGAAAGACCTGGCTTTTTCCTGGTTACATATTTAAAACAAAGAGAGCTTTGTCTGAAGGGAAGGACTTTTTACAATACTACCACCAAGTTCAGCAATTTATTCCTTTGACAATGTTTCTGGTGCAAACTAGACCAAAATTTATTTTCACAGCCTAGTTCCAAGTCATATTTTAATAAGTAGGATCTAGTAAAAAAAATGCATTGAAACATTGCCAAAGATCAAAAAACGAAAAAACACAAACTAACGGCACAGGCTAATACTGGATATCTTAGCTGGTAATGAGCTTTGTGAAGTTTGAAAAAGGCGACAAGTTCAGAAACCATTCCAAACAGAATAAAATCATTAAACTAGTTACCCAATAGCCTTATTCCTCATTCTGCATTTATATTATGATGGCAGATGGATAACGGTAAACCAGTTGTTCCATAACTTTCATTGTTGTAGCAAATCAAAATTCTGGGCAGATCTGGGATAGGATGTTCAAGTCATGATTTTTTTCATTTTGTGAAATGAAGCCAGTGTGAGCCAAATGCAATTATAAAAATATGAACATTGTCACAGCAATGTTTAATTAGAAACCTTTACAATTATCTGACCCTGTCACAGTCTGAACAAAAATTATATATATATATATATATATATATATATATATATATATATATATATATATATATATATATATATATATATATATATATATTAGGGGTGCAGGAAAAAATCGATTATTAGATGCATCGCAATGCAGACGTGAACGATTCTGAATCGATTCACAAATGTCAAAAATCAATTTTCTAAATATTTAATTTATAATGTAATGTTGACGGAATGCAAAAGGCGGAACTTGGAAGTGCGGAATGTGCAGCGCCCGGACAGTCTGTGGCGGCACATAACAAAAACACAACTGGATGAGCGAGAAATCCGACCGGCTCCCTCTGCATTAAAAGCTAGGTCAGGAGTCACAACATAAATGTTTAAAAAAAAGCCACTTTGTCCTTTCAACAAAAATCAAACCAGCTTGGGAGCCACAACATTTAATATCCAGTATGTCTCAGCATGTCCTAGTATAGGCTAGACGATACTACCAACTCTCTACAACGAGACCAAAACCGAAGTTATAAAATCACTAAAGAAAGCGGGTAGGACGGCTGTAACGCGCTGAGTGGAGATCCATTACCACTGGATCTTATGTCACAGTAACTGTGCATTTTATCGCAGATGAGTGGCAGCAGCATCTCATGCGCTCCAAAGCCAGTGAATGACAGCCTTCTAGTTCACTTGCCAACACAACTTCCATTTGATTTATTACTAAAAGATACTGGAAGCAAATTCACTATGGATCATTGCAAACACTTTGCTTTAAAACTACCAAGTCCTTACACAGTGAGAAAATAGAAATGATGCATAGAAAAAAGATGCATCGAGATGCATCGATAATCATTTTATAATCGCATCGCAGCCCTCTGAATCGTAATCGAATCGAATGGCGAGGTGCCTAGAGATTCCCACCCCTAATATATACAGTGGTGTGAAAAAGTGTTTGCCCCCTTCCTGATTTCTTATTCTTTTGCATGTTTGTCACACTTAAATGTTTCAGATCACCAAACAAATTTAAATATTAGACAAAGATAATACAAGTAAACACAAAATGCAGTTTATAAATGAATGTCTTTATTATTAAGGGAAAAAGAAATCCAAACCTACAGGGCCCTGCATGAAAAAGTGATTGCCCCCCCATTAAAACATAAATTAACTGTGGTTTATCACATCTTTGGAAAGCTGAGTTCAATTTCCCTAGCCACACCCAGGCCTGATTACTGCCACACCTGTTCTCAATCAAGAAATCAATTAAATAGGAACTGCCTGACAAAGTGAAGTAGACCAAAAGATCCTCAAAAGCTAGACATCATGCTGTGATCCAAAGAAATTCAGGAACAAATGAGAAACAAAGTAATTGAGATCTATCAGTCTGGAAAAGGTTAGAAAGCCATTTCTAAAGCTTTGGGACTCCAGCGAACCACAGTGAGAGCCATTATCCACAAATGGTGAAAACATGGAACAGTGGTGAACCCTCCCAGGAGTGGCCAGCTGACCAAAATTACCTAGTGCCTAGTGAAAGTCCTGACCTGAATCCGATTGAGATGCTGTGGCATGACCTTAAAAAGGCGGTTCATGCTTGGAAACCCTCCAATGTGGCTGAATCACAACAATTCTGCAAAGATGATTCGGCCAAAATTCCTCCACAGCGCTGTAAAAGACTCATTGCCAGTTATCGCAAACGCTTGATTGCAGTTGTTGCTGCTAAGGGTGGCCCAACCAGTTATTAGGTTTAGGGGGCAATCACTTTTTCACACAGGGCCCTGTAGGTTTGGATTTCTTTTTCCCTTAATAATAAAGACCTTCATTTATAAATTGCATTTTGTGTTTACTTGTGTTATCTTTGTACATACATACATCATCTAAACCGCTTATCCTTCTGGGTCGCGGTGGGGTGCTGGAGCCTATCCCAGCTGTCATTGGGCGGAAGGCAGGATACACCCTGGACAGGTCGCCAGTCCATCGCAGGGCAGACAGACAGACATACACATTCACACACACACTCACACCTAGGGGCAATTTTAGCGAGTCCAATCGTGTTATCTTTGTCTAATATTTAAATTTGTTTGGTGATCTGAAACATTTAAGTGTGCCAAACATGCAAAAGAATAAGAAATCAGGAAGGGGCAAACACTTTTTCACACCACTGTGTGTGTGTGTGTGTGTGTGTATGTGTGTGTGTATATATATATATATATATATATATATATATATATATATATATATATATATATATATATATATATATAGCTGTGTGTATGGATGGGAAAGCTGCAAATTAATTGCCCTCTTTGGGATTAATAAAATACTGTGAATCTGAATACCAAATTTTTTAATACAGAAAGAACGGTATAAACTTTTTTCCTAGAAAATGATGGGTGTCAATACAAATCAGTGTGTGAATAAGAGACAGTGACCCTGAATGTACTGCTAAAGCAACAGTGGAATATTATCAGGGTCAAGAAACGGAATGTGTGTGGCATGCTAGTTCTGTTGTTATTGAAATGCAATTGTCTTGAGTTGACAGCATGCCACAAACAATAAAACCCCTATAAAAAAAAGCTGAGGTTGGATAATGATAAATATTTGACAAGAATACTTCTAACCGCCAGCAAAAAAGCAATAACACGAAATTGGTATAAAATTGAACCCCCCTCAACAGAACAGTGGGTGGAAATTGTAAGACAAATCTATATACTAGAAAAAATGACTTACCAACTTCAATTGAGGTAAAATGTATTTGCTAACAAGTGGCGTAAATGGACAACATATGACAACATAAGGGATAAACAGACATAAATGCAAGGATATTGTATCTTTAAACATGATCATTTGATAAGAGTTTTGTAACCATAGACAACCCCTTTCTCCCTCCCTCCCCCTTGTTCCCCTTCTTTTTTCCTGGTGTTGTCCTGTCTGTGATGTTTCATCGTTGTTTACATCTTACATCTATGTCTACTTGTGTAAAAAAACTCAATAAACACTTGAGTGTAAGCTGAGGTTGCAGTCAAAAAAGATAATACACTCCACACATACAGGACTGTGAAAAAGTATTTACTCCTCACCTGATTTCTTCTATTTTTGCTAATTTGTCACACTTAAAATGTTTAGATCATCCAGCTAATTTTAATATAAGATAGACAACACAAGTAAACACACAATGCTGCTGATATCTTTCCATTTATTGAAGAGAAATATTTATTCAAAACCTATATCCTAAAACCTATTGCCCCCTAACTGCATGAACTGCCTGTTTAAGGTCTTGCCACAGTATCTAAATAGGATACAGGTCAGGACTTTGACTCAGCCACTCCAAAACCTTAATTTTGTTTCTTTCAAGCAGTTTAGAGGTGGACTTGCTTGTGTGCTTCAGATCACTGTCCTGCTGCAAAACTCGGTAAACTACACTTCAGCTTTAAGTCACGAACTGATGGGCAGACATTCTCCTTCAGGATTTTCTGATACGGAGCAGAATTCATGGTTCTATGAATTATGACAAGTCTAGATCCTACAGAACCAAAGCAGCCCCAGACCATCACACTTCCACCAACATGTTTGACTGTTCATATGATGTTGTTATGCTGGAATGTGGTGCTAGCTTTATGCCAGATGTAATGCAACATGTCTTCCAAAAAGTTTCACCTTTGACTCATCAGTCCACAGAATATTGTCCCAAAAATTTGGGGTGTCATCAAAATGTTGTTTTGGCAAATGGGAGATGTGCATTTGTGTCCTTTTTGAACGGCAGTGGCCTTGCAATTTTCCCATGGATGCAATTTTTTGCCCAGTGTCTTTCCTATTGTGGAATCATGTACACTGACCTTAACTGTAGCAAGTGAGGCATGCAGTTTTTTAGATGTTCATCTGGGTTCTTTCTCGATCTCTTGGAGGAGAAATTTTGGTAGGTTGGCCACTCCTGGGAAGGTTCATCATTGTTCCAAGTTTTCTCATTTTGGGGACAGTGGTTCTCACTACGGTTCACTGGAGTCCCAGACTCTTAGCAATGGTTCTGTAACCCTTTCCAGACCAGCAGATTTCAGATTTCAGACTTTCAGAGTCCCCCCCCCCGATCTGTATTTGAACCTCTTTAGAACGTGGCATCATGTGCTGCTTTTTGAGACCTTCTAGCCTGCTTCACATTGCCAGACACATTCTATTTAAGTGATGTTTAGATTCAACAGGTCAGCAGTAATCATGCCTAGGTGTAGCTAGTGAAACTGAACCCAGTAGTCAATTGAATTTGGTTAACTGGTTGATTTAGTAGCTACGGAGGCAATTACTTTTTCACATAGGGCCAAGTAGGGCTGAATAGCATTTTTCCTTCAATAAATGAAATCATCATTTAAAAACATAATTTTGTGTTTACTTGGTTTATCTTTTGCCTAATATTAAACTTAGTTTGATGATCCTGAAGTGTGACAAATATGCAAATACACAGAAGAAATCGGGAAGGGGCAAATACCTTTTCACAGCACTGTATAAGAGGAATCATCATATTAGTAGCAAATTGGGTAGGTACGGCATCCCAAAATCAAGTGCTAAAGAGTAAAATGAAAAGAGCACAAGGGGAACCACCAACTGTTAATGAAGTCTGAAAGAATAGGACATTTTGCTTTCATCACTTTGTAATTTGTAATAGAGCTCTGGGCACAAAAACATTGCACAAAGTCTATGATACCTCCTCATGTCACTGGTCAGATTTTTTTATATAAACATCAAACATTCAGACCCCCCAAAAAGACCCACATTCAAACCCAACTCTGGCCACCTCCCCAAGAAATGGGATAGTTATTGGTTTTGTATAAAAGCCAAATTCTAATAACCGTGTACTGTTCTCAAGGCAAGCAAGGCTTTCTTGTCTTGCTTGGTAATTTTTTTAAACTATAATTATTGATTATCAACTAGGGCTGCAACAATCACTGGAACACCATAGCCATTTGTGATTTGTTTTGTCATCCAATTGATGCAAGTATTATGAAAAAAAGCAGCCTTAGTCCAATTCATGTTTTGCTTTATGGTTAAACAACCTGCAAGTTTACTGTGAACAGCGACAATCTTCCACTGGCTAAATACAAGACACTTGAAGAATGGCTGGCCAAGTAATTTCACACAGAGACTGCACAACTGTTATATTAAAGCAAAAAACATTAGAGCTTTTTGCTGGTTTCTCATGGCTTTTTGCTTTTAGAAAATGGCAAGAAAATAGAACAATAATTGCAATAGTTCCTGCACAAAACAGTTAAGTTTGTTAACAGCAGGTAACAAATTAAGGCAGAAAACAAATTAAGAAAAATTAAGGCAGAAATACATAAATATACATGGTAAGATAGGAGTAAGAACGGAATCATGATAAAATCAAGAATATGTGTCCTTTACTTAATGGAACTGAACAACACTTCCCATAATTCAGCTTTAGACAGTTGGGGTCAGAGTTGTACTATGAACAAGTGGGTTGAGATCTCATCAGTGCTAAGGAGGATCAAAAAGAGAATTACCCTTTCAAAGTTCAAGGCTTACACTGTGAGCACAAACAGTTCTGAGGTTAGTTGCAGCTTTCAGCTTTACTCTGACAGAGCTGAGTTTGGTTAACTCAAAAAAGACTACATGCAGGAAGCATAGTTCTAACACCCAACACTTCCCACCAGACAGTTAGTGGTGCTACTAACCCGACTGGACTTTGTGTTGTAATCATCATCATAGCCATTGCTCTGTGGGGAAAAGTATAAGGATATGCACAACATTAATGTGTTTCCTTCACCATTACAAACCTAAACATATTAAACACAGTCTCCTCAGTGTTACCAACGTACAGTTTGAGAAGAATGTTTTTTCTTCTTCCTGTTCTTCTTCTTCAAATTCTTGTACGAGTATAATGATGACACTTGGGAGAGCTACATGGGATGGAGTAGGATTTGGAAAATATAAGTATTACACTGAAACTGACTACTACCAAATCAAAAGAATCATAACAATTTCCATGCAGCTCAGACGTTTCAGGCAGTTTACCATCATACCCATGCATCAGAGAATTTCATTTCAGTTCAGTGATTCCTTTGTTAATAGTCAAGCCCTAATTTCCTAAACGTTGTGTGCAAAACATGACGTGTGTAAAGATGTGCAAAGTTGATAACACCTATATTAAAATGTCCACGAAGATAAACAAACATGTTCTACAGAGAACTGTCTTTATATAGATAAATTTGTCAGCTGCAGTTATTAAGCCGAACAATAATTTCAAGAATTTTTAAGTATAAAAATAAAATGTGTAGTTCTTATAATGCTTAAAGCAGAGGATTATACATCTCATTCACTGATTAAATAAATAATTAAATAAACAAATTAATTAACTCATTCATTTGTTAATTCATTTTATACATATACTGAACAAAAACAAATGCAACACGCCTTACTAAAAAAAGATGTCACTGAAACCCTGCAAAAAAACAGGGTGGGTCAGAGAACAGAATGCCCACTTTAGCATGACCACCGTTTGCCTGTGGCAGTGCAATTTTTTTTTATCAAACTTATGGAAAATGTAAGCATAACCAAATGTCCATCTGCATCCACAAGACATGTGCAAAATAAATCCCAGAGCAAAGAAATTCCCGGGCACATCGTCTTAAGAAAAGTATAAAAAGCCTTTACTGAAACATGGCAATATGTATAAAAATGTGCTGTTGCGTTGCGGCCTTCTCAGGCCTTCATCAGGACACGGAACAATTGCAGATCAAGATTTGAAAACGTATACATGGATATTAATACCATTTTCTACATCAGGTCCAAAAGCTGACTCACCTGATCTGTGATTCTTTGATGCTTTAACAAGCAGGCTGACCAATCAGAGCTGCGTTGTCATGGTTGCACCTTTAAAGAGTAACTACACCCCATAATTTTCAGCAAATTCCACCCCTGGCTCAACTTGCTTAGACAAATGCTCAAAAATGGGAGGGGCACTGAAGTGATCTATGGATTTGGTGCTGGGGCTGCAAGGGTAACCAGGTGGGCTGGGCTGCTGTGTTTTTAGAGCTAGCATATGTTAGCTACCAGAAAATATGAAGAGGGACAGAATCACAGTACTTTTGCAACTGAGAGGTCTTACAAGGTTGATGATTTTTTTTCCACTGTTTTCCCCATCTTCGACGAGGGAAGGTGTTTCTGATCAGGCAGCGTGTCTTGAGCATATACAATATGAGAATGGCAGAACATTCACTAAAACTTGACAAAAAAAATTCAAGAAAGGCTGTATGGATGAAAGGTCGATACCGTCGGTAACAATGGCCATTTAGCGATAACCTTTCCTGAACCGTTTCACTTTCCGTAATTCCAGTGTTGCTTGCTGTCAATTTCTGTTCAGTGTGTGCACCCGAGTCTTTGAGTTGTGAAGGAAAACGTGAATCGGATGCAACACCGGCAACTTTATGGAGACTTGCAAGAATCCTCATTCAATCAGTCCAACATCTTTATTTCAAACTAAGCTTAGATTAATTGAGTTATTTACAGTTGGTATAGAAATTTTACATATCACAGCCTTGTGAGGTGGTGCTGGGGGTATTTAGCTCAGCACATATGTGTGGTTATCCCCTCTCTAGGCTCCTATGCTTTCATATTTATGAGTGTGGTATGAGTAGAGTGTCATCAGGGGACGGTAACATTGTTTGACTGATTTGCGCACATACTGAAGTACGAAGGCATGTTATCCACGCCTATAGCAGAATTAAACCAGAGGGGCACTGCAGAGGCGAAGTGGACCACGATAGAAATTATATTTTTACAGTTTGGAAAGATGTGTTCACATTTTAAGCAAGGCTGGTATATTTTATTATTACAGAGCAGTGCATTTCTATTAATGAAACTATTAATGAAAAAAGGTCTTCGGGTTTAGTTCCTCTTCAATCTATTTGCTCATTTTTAATGTTCATTGAACTTTTACCTTTACTGCATTTGGCAGACGCTGTTATCCAGAGCGACTTACAATTTGATCATTTTACAGAGGTAGGCGAAGGTGGCAAATATATAATCCCACCTCCAACCAATCAAAACGTGAAACAACAGAGCTGATATGATGTACAAATAAAAAGTACAAAGAGGAGGGAGGAAGAGATGGTGGCAGTTGTTTCTAAGTTTTGTTATTTACACAAGAAAACATTCACATAATCAATGACCAATAACTCTCCACTGTTGTGACCAGAGTCCCTCTCTCTCCATCAATAAGCTTCATTTTTAATGTGGAACCATGCTGAGATATTTACTAAGTGCAGTAGTAATTTTTGCCAGTTTGCTATCAGTATCAGTTTGGTATCTTTTGGGTCTTTGAGTCAAAAAGTCCAAGAATCTCTGGTTCACTCGATTACATCCCATAACATTCATCCATATAGTTTGGAAGTAGTTGACAAATGCACACACAAGCTATCTAAATGAATGAATAAAATGAATAGCAAGAACCGTATTAGTGCTGCATTCTGTTGTCAGTTACTGTGCAGAGTTTCACTACAGCTAATTTCATCTCAACATTAGAAAAAAGTATGTGTAATATAATTTGTGAATCTCTATTTCAGATGCAAATTGCAACCTCTTTGCAGTTTTTGGCCAGCCTATAACATTGTTTTAGTTAAAGATGTAACATGGGCTACCTCTACATCATTACAGTAGACATACTACCCCAAGTGCCACATTAACATGCCTCCCTGTCACCCCTGTGCCACCTCTGATAATATTTTCTAGATCTGCCACTGGAAATTCCTCAGTTGTAGTCACATGATCTATTTCTTGCTGTGGCTGCATTGATGACTGCCTTCTGTTGCGTCTCAATGAAAGAGTGATGGTGGACAATTAAAAGATAGTCAATGTCAGTTGTGAAAAACTGAAATGCATTCAAAGAACAAAATAAAAAATTGGATCTGATTAATAAGTAGTTCCCAGTAGTTACAAGAGTTGTGTTTAATACGGACTGCACAACACAAGGGATACTGGAACTTGCTATAGCCTATACATATACTTTCACATTTTATAATGCCGCTTTCACTCACCATTGTAAACTGGCATGGTTTTGCTCATCTGCTAAAAGTGTTTACAGATGTATACATGCTCTAGTGTAAGCCAGAAAGTTGGCTACGGATGCCTGCAGTTTCAGCAATGAATGGGCAAGCAGTACAAAAAAAAAGGAACGTGACATTGCCTACAATTAAAAAAAAGACCTTGTTATTAGCTTAACTGCGAATGTTACACAGAATAGCCAGTGAACTGTGTGGACTACAGGGTTTATGTGTGACAATTGTGTTGATCAGTATGATTAGTTTAGATGCCTTCTGCAGAGTAAATGTAAATGGCAGCGCATCGGCATGAGAATCGTAAGGTGGCCCCTATGACCCTATGCATAGTACAAATAAAAACATGCTACAAATGCATAAACACAATGCATATTCATAATTGTCAAAGGAGATGGAAATTCACTGACAGCAATTTATAAGACCATGAATACAGTAAGTATACAGTTAACCTGGCTGGCTAGTTAGCTGTATGACATGTCGTAGATGTACTGCAGTAGTAATCTGTCCTGGTATTGCTATTTGAAATACAGTAATGTTATAGTAACACTACAACTATTTCCCATTAGGATACAGTGATGCTATCTGCTCACGTTTTACCAGTTTACTTACTTTTACTAGTGAATATTTATGCTGCAAGTTTGAATAATTCCGTTGTGTTGTGAATGACAGTGTTTCTGAAGTTGCGTGTGTTTTCTGTATTTGCAGCACATTTGTGAAATGTAGCACTGGTGTTTTCATTTTGATGAAAGAGATTTCTGAGCTTGCAAAGCATATATGAATTTGCAGTGCATTTTTTTGCAGAGTATTTGTAAAAAACAGCATATTTGATGTTAATTGCTGAAAGTGTTCTCAGCTTTTGCAGCTTGTATTTTACTTGCAATTTGTTGGGTCTTTTCCACCATAGCATTGACAGATTTGTACATGGAAAATAATGGATATCTGCACTGGCCCAGAATTTCCATATGGGTGCATGCCTAGAGATAATAGCACTCCACCAAATGATTCTTACCCCTTCATGTGCCCCCACTGATTCTAAATTCAACTGCACAGAGAAACAACACAATCAACATCATGAAATTCCATCACAACCAGTATTAACACACTCCTCAGTAAGCACAGGTAACCACAGCTAACACTCAAAAACACAGAAGGCAAAGGAAGATTGCATGCATGTGCGCATTATTTTTTCAATGCTGTTAATACTGTTTTCTAGTTTGGCTCTTCGAACCATCTGCCATAATGCAGCAAACTAACAAGAACACAATATTCAAACAAATTGAAAAGCTACAGTTCCCCTTGAGCGTCCACTGCAACAAGAATCCATTAACTGTATGAACGAAAACAAGACTAAGAAATATAGCCGCGAGCAGCAATCTGCAGGGTCCAAGCACCATGAAGACATCGAGGATTTAAGTAGTGGCCTCTGGTCGTAGAATGCAGCAGATGTTTAGATTTTTAAGAAAGATCTCCTTTTCTTATGATTAAGAGGACTAGATGATACATCTGCTACAATCTACACAACTCAGTTTAACATCCTTGACAGGGATTTGAACCCACGAACCTAGAGTTCAAAGGCGGAGGCTCTCATGGTGAGCCACAAGACATCTGTGGCACAGCTACAATTTTTGAAACAATTTATTGAAAGGAAGCAATAAGAAACCATGCACCATTTTAGGACAAAGTAGCAGCATAAACAAATTTCAAGTCTCTGGTCATAGAATATTTTTAAGAAAGACCCTTCCTTAAGATCAAGATAATTAAGTGTGTGTTCACAACAATTGCTACAGCACCATCCAACATCTGTGGGAATCAAACCCACGACCTTAATCTTCAAAGGCGGATGTTTTCAGGGTGAGCTACAAGAGGCCGACAGCAGACCTGTTTTTTGAGACAATTTACTGGTACGGAGCAATAAGGAACCAAGCACCATTTTGCTAATTAGTTCCCACCTTGCAATTACTGTGACTATTTAGTATAATTCCAAATGAAATCATAATACAATGTCAGTTTGTCATTTTGTATATTTGGTTATAATCAGACAATTATTGATGAATTTGTAGCCTATTATAGCAGAATAAGCCAATTCACACCAATTTATTCAAACCTTCAGCCACACTGTGCTTAGAAGTCATATTTTTAATAATTTAGATTGTTTCAAGAAAAATTAAATTAGATTTAAACTCAGGAATTAGTAAGAAAATGTCTATTCACCATCTTTTTTCAACTGTGCAATTACTGAAAGTTTTTTAAGACTTGTATTTGCAAAATTATTAGGCTCAGTGGAAAGTGTAAGCATTCACAAAGGCTCTTCACTTAAAGACATTCAGTAAAGCTTTCCATGTATATTTAAAGAATGACTTTTGCAGTTACTGATTTGGCTCCCTCTGGTGGCCAGAGAATAATACAGCACTTGTTGCTCTGACCAAAATTTGCTGAAATCAAATTACAGGATTTTCTGTACAGTACAACCTACACATATTTGCAAAGTGACAATTCCCATTAAGATGCAAAATTTGAAACAATTGTCATGTTTTTATTTCATTCTTAGGCAGGAATAAATACATTTTAGATTTTTGGCAGTAAATTGAACAATGTAAGAGCTAACATAAGCAGAATCAAGCCAAATGTCATACATTTCCTCAACTGATTATTATCAATGTACAAATCGATTTTGGTCACAATCAGAGCATAACTTACAACTTTGTGGTTCAGAATAGGCCAGACCGAACCGATTATTCCATAACTTGCAATAACATTGTGCTTAAAAGGCAAGATTTTTTAAATAATTATTGATCTTGAGACTTCGACGGTTGTTTTGAAACCATTTCAGCAAGCAGTACGAAAACATCAGTTTTCAAACTCTGATGATTTACAGAAAAACAATAGCCTTTTAAAAAGACTTATATTTGCAAAATTGCCTGGCTGGGTGGAATACATAAAATTCAGAAACTTTCTTCACCACAAGATAGATATGGCAAAGCCTATGACGATGAAATTATGACGTCTGAAGTCATAATTTGCCTTTAATGCTGATGCTCCCTCTGCTGGCCAGAGGAAATATAACGATTCCTGATTTGCTGGCCAACCTGGGTTTAAGTCAAATTTTCATATTTCCTGTGCAATTTTGGAACATACTTATAATTGCAATGTTTTAGATGTTAATGAGATGTGTAATTTCAAACTTATTTAATCATAGAAGGATATAATGACATTTTAATAATTATGCACTAGATTAAGTATTGCAGGGGCTTATGACAAATCAATTTAAATGAAACCTTGCATGCTTCCTTAGAAAATAGCAGTGTATATTTTTACCAAGATTTATCACAATAACAAAATCTAAAGAATCTATAACCCTCTAAGTCAGAAAAGGCCAGGCCAAACAGATTTATTAATGTCTCATGGCCGCTCTTTGCAATAAAAGTTTTTTTAAAAATTATTTACCTACGGACTCCACAGATTGTTTTAAGACCAAAACTGAAACAGTTGTCTTAATATCCACAGACTAGTTCGAAAAACAAATTTTTCAAAATTGATCAATCGAAGAAAAACTTAACAGAATTTTAAAAGACTTGTATTTGATAAAATGTCATTCTCAGTGTAGGCAATGATATCAATTGATTTATTTTGATCTATGATAAAATGTATAGGACTTATTCTTGTTTATGCTCTATAGCGCCACCTCATGGCCAATTGAGGTCAAACTTTATAGGCTATTAGAGATTGCCTATGTGGACACGTTATAATTTTTGTGATGATTGGTCAATGCTAAGCCCTCCAAATGCCTGTTAAAAGTTTACTGGCCAATGACGGCCATATCTGTCCAATGATTGAGTTGCCCTGATGCCTCAAGTATATAGCAGCCCTAGAATGCAGCATGCAAAGTTTCAGCTCAATTGGCCAAGCAGTTGCTGAAAAACAGATTTTTGGCTGTTATAGCGCCCCCTATTGAGTAATCGGTATCAAATTTGGTGAACTTCCACAGAATCATATGAGGTATAGGACTATAGGATAGTTTAAACTGATTGGCTGCGTGAATGAAGGTAGCTTCATTTCCTTTTATTTTTAATAACATTACATGATTGTCTGTCTATGCATGGTGTGTTGGCTTGTCAGGAAAAAAATATTCCACCTGTAGTAGACCAGTCACTCCTATAAGAATTTCTGCCTACTGCCATTTTTTGCTAATAAAGTAGACGCATGTCTTCATTCAGAATTACTTAGTTGCTAAAGAACTGTCAGATGTTTGCAAATATTCTAATACAATTTAAAGCCAAAATAGCCTGTTGTGTCATTTATTTATTGTCAGTAATAGCACTTGTTGTAAGAGGAAGTTTATCAATATACAGTTGTGCTCATAAGTTTACATACCCTGGCAGAATTTGTCATTTTTTGATATTTTTTCTGAGAATAATAATGATAATACAACAACTTTTCTTTTATTCATGGTTAGTGGTTGGGTCAAGCCATTTATTACCAAACAATTGTTTTTGCCCTTTTTTAAATCCAGGCAGCCTGGATTACTGTTCTGTCTTCACTCTGACTGTGAGGTAGTGTGACTTGAGGTGATTACTGGAGGAAGGTTTCGCCATAGACAAATCACTTGGAAGTTAAGCCCCAAAGCCTGATTTTATTTAAGACCTCACGTTTCACTGAGAGAAAAAGAAAACCAATTTACCAGTGCCAGAAAGTCAGTTAAAACAGTTCTCAGATCAGAATTATCATGACAGTGACTTGGATCTCATGTTAGTAACTCTTTAGCAATCATTTTACTCAGCTCACATACAGCTACAAAAATATAGCATATTTGCTGCAAAGCCAAAGTGCCCATACTCGCATTCAGCTGCAAGGATCACCAAACAAAAAGGAGACCCTGTGTCTTTTCTCCTAACCCTTTTTATCCAAAAAGCCTACTCCTAGAAGGTGGTGGACAAATCGGCACCCACATTCCTATAGCCATACAGGTAAATGTACATAGATTGCATTTAAATTTCAATTTCTCTTTTGTTCAGCTGTCTTTGGGTGTGGTGTCTGTACTTTGGTGATAAGATCCAGCTCTGTCTTCATCACACTGATCAAAATGTAACACAATTAGAATAATGCTGCCAAAACATACATACGCCTTTCCAAAATGCCTTAAGCTTTCTGATAGTTTTAGCCCATACACAAATAAAAAGAAGAAGAGAGACAGAAACTTGCCAGACCGAAAACAGAAAAGGAATAGGAATAGGTACAGTTATTTGAATACACGGACATCCAAACAAAGCTTGTATTTAGGCCAGAATAATATTAAACCCAGTGAGGGAAAGTGAAAACCCACCATTGTTAGCTTGTTGCTAGCAGATTACGAAAAATACCACAGAGGTTACAAAAACAATCAAATTGTCCATGACTTTTCCACAGTAATTTCATGTGATTTTCTGTGTCAGTTTCTCATGCAGCTAACCGTAAAATTAGTTAGGAGAGCAAAATAAACTTGATTAATTTACCTTTGCTAGTATGACTGTGTTCTCCCAATCTACTTCCCATATTTTAAACTCAAAACCTTATTTCAAACTCCTGTGAAAATTCAAGACTTCAAGTAAGATTGCTGTTATTTGTTATTACAAATTCATATGTTTCAGTTGCTAATAACCAAAGGAATTTTATGGTAAAAATTGCTCTTTAAGGTTGGAAAAAATAATCGATTCTTGGTTGCTATTATAAATTGATTCACAAAACACAATTTTCACGTACATTAAATAAAAAGCCCGAAACCATAATAATCATATGATACCATAGTATACCGAATTATAGTAATTAGTAATTATAGTAATTTAATACCAGTTTACCAGAATGCAACAAAAAAAAAAAGAAAATCTTAAACATCTGAAGAAAATTTTAAACATTTTAGCTACACATGCCTGTGAGGAATTGTTTTATAAGAATTATATTTTTATAATTGTAAAACTCACTTAAGCTGTATGGAAAATGCTAAAAATGTTTCTCAGCTGGTATGTGGCACTTTAGGATATCCCCAGCAGAGACAAAGGGGAATTTACCATAGTGTACCAGCTAATTAATCCCCTGTAATATTTTTTTTTTTTTTACAGTTAAAGTGAATAAAACATTATGTATACATATTATTTAATATTATTTAGCAAGCCTTTTGAAGTTAAATTATTTATTTCTAGATCTCCATCAGTTCTCTTTCCCAACAATGCAATTATCTCCTTTGAAGCTTGGCCATCAGATTCAATCATCTTCAATCTCTGGTTACATCACCCTATCGCCCACGCCTATTTCCCACTTTGAATTGTTCCACAGTGCAAACATCTGGACATTTTCTTAACTACTTAAAAAGTTGTGGGTAATGTCTGTCTTTTTCATATCTGTGACAGTGGCAGAGATAAAGTAATGTGGTAAAATAGCCTTAACCGAAAATCAGAATCTGCATCTGGCTTAATATAGCAAATATTGTCAAACATTCTTCGATCAGCTGAGATCCTGATCTTTCAGACCAGGGACATCCGTGCACAGAATAATTTACCACTGACCTGCAGGCTGTTCCTGCTCCCCACTGATGTCCGCTCTTCATCATCTGACATCTGCAAAGACAGAGAAATGAAAACATCACAATTTGTTGCAGCTAGCACAGATTTCACCGGAGCAGACCACATGTGCTCCACCGACAAAGGAGAACTCCTTTAGTTTTGTAAACTCCTCGCTTTGACTGCACCACTGAGAATAGAAGCTATAGGTATACTTGCAAACAGCTTTAGGATTTCAAAGTTTTGTGAGTTTAAATCCTTTTAATAGTCTGATTATTGTGCATGATTAATATGCATGTTTGAGAGCAACACAATTTTCCCAGTTCACATAAATTTGTTTCACAGTTGGGCTAATAAAAACCTACATGCTAGCAATTGTGTGCATTCACTTTCCAGAGTGGACTTAAAAGTACTTATGATGGCAACTGTAGCCTAAATACGGATGCTTTATTTATTTTTCTTTTTTACAGAATTTTTGAGAACATTGCATTTACAATGAATTCTTCAATACATATTTGAGCTGATCAAGACACATAGCCATCAATAACAATTATGCAAATTACATGCTAATTGCTGGCTACTGTCTTCCATTAATGTTTAGCAAGGGTAAAATATCAGGCTGAGGTATTCTTTTCTAGAAGTTACAAAAGTACGTTATATCATAGAATGTTTGCTTGTACACAAATGTACCAAATGCCAGACACATTATCTATCAGGGCAGTAAATCTTTTCCATGTCTTGACATTGCTTCTTCACATTACTGCAAAAACATAACACTTCTTAAGCACAGACTAAGCAATTAGAGCCAGAAATAAAGATGTGGAATGAGAGGAAGGTGAAGGGAAAGGATAGAAAGATACAAACCAAGCCATGTCTCTGGGAGGGTTGTGTATAGCGTTCACTGTTCTCCTATAAAGGCCAGATGTTACAGAAAAAGAGAAAAGAGAACAAAATCAAGAGTATATGAGATGAAAACGCAAGGAGGAAGGGAAGGAAGGGAAAGAGGAAAAGGAAATAGAAGTCACAGCACATTAAAGTTCCACAAATACAGTAACGCACATAATAAAACGTCACACAGTACAAGTACAAGCTATCACTATATTAACATACAACAAGCAAATTCATTCAAAACTCAAATTGTTTTGGGACCATGGTAAAGCATGTGTATTGACAGACATCGAACCAAAACTCCACAAGCATTTTTTGTACACAGAATCAACAATATGCTACCGCAACAACACTTGCTTTTTGCCATGCAGGTCCTGCATACCCATATGGCTGCTAAATCTATGGAAGGAACAAATGAACCCTCGAACATTCATGCAGTACAACAAAAAAGCACAGAAGCAGGACATCAAAATTAGGGATAGGCACAAGTAATTGACTAGTAATTGACTAACTGACTAAGTTAAACTTAAATATTCGACTACATTCTTTAAAAAGGGGGTTCTTAAAGGATTCTTAAGTATTGGCAGTGGTTCTATGTAGAACTATAACAACTCAAAGAACAAACTGAATAGCACAGTATGGTAGTTCCACTTGTTAAAACACATCCACTAAACCTGCCAATTAAAAGATGAGCCAAATCAGGTGTGTCTGAGTGAGGAAATCAACAAACTGTGCTGGTCCTTCCAGGACGTGAGTTGAACACCCCTGTTTTAAGTATTAAAGATGTTCCTTAGGGCGTACCAAAAACGTTCAGAAGAAGGGGTCATTTAGGTGACATGCAGACCAACTAATCACAATTGGCAGCAGACTAGTAAAGCAGTACTACAACAACAAGGGTAAAATACATCAGCCTCTGGGAAATGCTGAGTTGGCTCAAAATAAAATTTCTAAAAAGGGATGCAGTTAACTTTACAAACATTTTTCAATCCAATGATTTGGATCCAAAAAAGGACCAAAAAAACTCATTGTGGTCACAATTTGCAGAGCAGGCAACTTTTTAGTACTGCTTACTACCAGCCATCTTTTTTTAAATGTAAGCTAAGCTAACTGGCCAATTAACAAAGAAAATAAAATCCAGCTCTGTTACTAAATTGATGTTACAAATAATGTACAACCTTAATTTCATGCATGTCTCAGACTGTTAATTTTTGAGTAGCCTAATTGATTACTTTACGTTAGCCTGCTTCAACACAGAATTATTCTAAATGCCCATCACTGATTAACCTAGTTTTAGTTTCATGCTTTAATAAACAACTTATTAAACATTGTCATAAATAGAATCTCATCTAAATCTCATAATACCATCCACTGCTCAATGTCCCCCCATTTGTTGTCCAGGTTATCCAATCCATAGTATTTCTGAGGAAGAAGTGCACAAAATGAGGATTCTAATATTTCAATCAGCACCATGTTTATCTTTGTACACAGAAAAGGAAGAATTGTATTATGATTTGAATTTAGTGAAAAGTTACTGTAATGAGGAAGGAATACCAGCCTTGAAGTTATCATTTTTTTTAAACTTAAACAGAAGTCAAAAGTGCAAACTTGAATATGGTAATGCAGACTGTAACGTGTTGTTGGAAGAAAACCTCTCCATTTTTGACGTTTTTAAGTTTTTGACATAATTTGAAAATACCTGTTACCCTTTATATTGTTTGTAAATTTCATGATAAAAGGAGTAAAAGAAATTACATAAAATGACTTAAAAAAAAAAAGTCTGGTTCCATAGACTTACAATAAAAGTAAAGCAGGTTTTTTCCTTCTCCTGTAAAGTTACCATTTTGGACATACAAGGTTTTCTTCCGACAACAGCGAAATGTAACTTACCATGTAACTTACCATGTAACTACGTAATGAACTGTATAATTGTGTAATCATTTGTAAACAGTATAGCGCAACAATATTACTAACTCTAGACTTCAAAGGATTAATAATAGCTGTATTTATCTATTTGATAAATAAATCTATTCCACAGCAGTATACAAACATTTATAGACTACACAGGAACAATGAACTAAACAACATCCAAATTCCATTCAAAGCATCCTACCTTCTGGACCTGATAGATCTGCAGCAGGGATGGACAGCAGAAAGTTTGGAAGAGCATGATTCAGGCAGGCAAGAAAACAGGAAAAAAGAGCAAAGAGAGTGAGCAAGAGAGAGAAGGTACACTGTAGTTCCACAACACATTACCTAGAAATGTTCATGTTATACACACAAAACTCACTCAGATTAATGACTGATAATTTGTTGTTCAGAATCTTTAAGGGTTTGTTAATCTGGACTAGACAGTTTTGGCTTACCTGACTTGCTTAAGCTGCAGCACAGACTCAACATAAACTAAACTGAGACATCAAACATTCCAACACAGCCAACAATGAGCATTTAAATCATCTTTAATAACATAACTACTTTAGTGATCCTTTGCTGAATCCTTATTTTATTATGTATGTAAATCGCTTGACTATCTGGGTATGTCCAGTGGTATGATCCACTTTGTTATACAGGGTCATTTTGGAAGCAGCCAATATTAGGCCAAATGGTTGTCATCTGCATCATTCATTAGTAAAATGATGACATTTTAATTGCCCTTAATGCACTATATTTTTTCAGCACTGTGGTAAGCTACAATGAGTGGCAACTTGTTGGTAAGAGCTGGTAAATGTTGACGACTGATCAATAAGTTAAAACAACATCTACACAGGGTACATATTTTAAGAGCTGTTTACAACCATTACTTGGTCTGGGTATAACTGCAAGAACTATTAGACTCTCTAAAATCCACAACAGAATCTAACTGCCTCTCTTGTATATCTTCCAAATTCAGCTTAAGTGTTCTGATACTGTACTGTAAAAACTAGTTCTACCCACTACAGAATTTGTGGTATATATATTTGAAAAAAAAAATGCATTACATGTAATATTTAGGATGTTATTTTGAAATGTTTCTTTTTACCAGGGTTCTTAGCCTTGCCCTGGCATCCTGAGGAGCACAGAGGAGCCTGCGGCACTAGCTGTGGTTGGGAAATTCAGCTCAGTAATTCAGTTCTTGGAGGGTTTTAGTGCAACATAATTTGATACCTTCTTACTCTAAAACATCTTGACAGTTAACAGATGAATTGAATCAAATGTTTGTGAGCAGGTAAATCACTAAGTTGTGTTGCACCAAAGCCTTCTAGCCTAGGGCATAGCTAAAACGTTTAGAATGAGGCAGCCAGGTAAGACCCAGAGATTTTATTAGGGTGGCACACTGCAAGAAAATAAATAAAACTGTGTTATTATTTTAAAATGACATAAAAATTGATGCATTGTTTTTCTCTGTACATAAGTAAATCTGCCCATCATTTACACATGAATTAAATATTGCATCAATACAACTATTGCTGAAAGTAAATGGAAAGACAAAACTGTGGTGATGTAACATATTTTAGTCATTCATGCAGAAATTATGTATTTGAATAAAGTAAACTATATGCATCACTTTTTCAGTGCACAATGTTAGCTTTAAGAAAAACATTTTATATAGACTTGCCATAGAAGTTATGAGTCTAATGATTAGAAAGCTAACCAGGCAGCACTGTATAAGGTAACCTACAATACATGCTTGATTCAGCTGTAGAAATAAATAATTTAGCATGATAAATGACTGTAGCTGATTTTTATATACATTTTTGATGGTTAGTGCATCTTACCATCGAGTAGCCTTCTTCATTATGTGATCTCACAGAACAGCAGTGCTAAAGAGACCCAGAGCTCAGCCTGTTTGCTGAGTAAATGAGCCTGTAACAGCAAGATACGCTAATAATTAAATGCAGCTTCATCAGCCTCTCATTGGTAACTACCCTGATGGCAATTTTTACCATAAAGCATGAAGCTTTTTAAATGATGGCTGACTGTCTCATTTTCCATAACCGGGGTGGCCCCCATGAACTACCATATCTTTCTCATCCTTTGCAACATAAGATTCTGTTTCAAATGAAACGAAGACAACAGTAACTTCTCTTCTTTTGCACCCTGTAACAAACATTTTAGAAAACAGATAACAAACATGGTATACTAATAACGGAATTACCCGTTAAAATGTAACACTAAAAGAAAATAAAGAGTTGTGGATTTTGCGCAGCAGACCACTACAAAATCCTAATTCTGTTTAACTAATTTAGGATGTACTCTATTTTCAGATTCAATCTGTAATTGTACGACCTCAATATTGGGATTGTGGTAGAGCTGAGTAGACATTGCTAACTGATAAAGCAAAGTTCTACTATACATTTGGTATCATCACAACACAAGAGGACAGTTAAACAAAGTCAAGAGCGAATTATAAGATATGACAAATTCTTCAAATCTTTACATTGACAACCATGACAACCACATTATGTTGAGTGCAAGTAAGGGTGATTTATCATTTTTACAATAAATGATCAAAATGCACTTTTCTGATTTCTGTTGTGGGTATTGTCAGTACCCAGTAGAACACTGAACCACTGCATGTACAATAAAACTAAACAGATTTAGACCATTCTAACTTGTTCACACACTTTAGAAATATTTTGTGACACATAATGTATAGTGAAAATGTCTTCAGGAAGCCATTTTTACTATCGTCCATCCTTAAATGCAATTTTTATTGGAAGTACAGTACATTACCTAATGAACAAGACCACTAATTCAGGCAATAAGTCTAAGAATGTATCCTGTGCACCAAGCTTTCAAAAGTTACAATCAATTTAAATTCCTGTCATGTCTATTACAAAGTCATTTCTCTTTTGAAACAGCAGCCCACCTTCCTCAGCAGAGGGGTTTGGGGGCGCCTGATGAGTGCTGCCCGAGCCCCTCTCCCCATTAGCCATCTGCCTGCCGTCCTGCTTAGCTCAGAAGTCCATTTTCCTCTGCATCATGGGATGCAGTTCTCACAAATTCAGTTAAGCAAAGCTCAGTCAATTATGCCAGGATTCATGAGGTATGATCTCAGCAAAAAAACATTTCTTCATCAACCAGCAACTAACTTTAACATAGCAAATCTGTATTACTTGATGAGGAACAGATAAATCTAATCAACATAAATATAAATCTATGTTTTGCTGTAGTTTTTATACTTAGATTAGAGACAATGGATGCTGCTGTTAGCCCAATGCGCGTTCAACTTATCGCTCCTAATCCACTTTGGGACTTGGCTAGAACCCCAGACATGCACACATACCCAGACTGCCCACTACACTTCCGGATAAAACTCATGTTAACTCAACCATAATTAATCCTTAGTGTGTATGTGTGCTGCAAAAGGGTCTGAATTGCACAAGTACTCTCAATGCATGGCTACAAGTAGGTCCTTTGTACCTTGAAGGCAGTTTTCAATCGGTCCAAATTGCTGATGATACTTTGTTACAAGAAACTGGGCTAAATCTGCAACAATGCTTATTCACGTTAAAGCGACTGTCTACTAAGAATAGTGCTGCACAAATCCAAATGCAAAAATCCAACTGATGAACCACTGAGGTGGTATTTTAAATACAATTTTTATGTTGATATTTATGTTTGCTGGATTTTGTGAAACCCTTGATTCATTATGCATTTGGGTCAAAAATGCATGTTTTACAAAGATAGTGATTCTGATGTGCCACCGTTTACCTGATGTGGAATTTCGAATTATTTGATACCAATCCTTCCTTGACCTGCACATTGTTTGCTAAAAAGGGAATCAAACTATTGTAAAAGTACCTTTATCATTACAGCACCTTCATCATTCACATCCTATTTATAAACAGCCATTTTAAACTTGTAACATTTTTACTTCTATGCTGCTATTCCTCCTTCAGTAAAGATTTGAACTTACAGCCTACCTGGAGGAGCCTATTAGCTATCCGTAAGCTGACCTAGTCAAATCAAATCAAATCAAATCAGATTTATTGTCACATCACAAGAGTACAGGGACACAGGTGAGTGAAAAACTTGAGTGCGAGTTCCACAAATTATGCAGAGAACAGTATTTACACATAGATAAACAAAACTATAGATAGGATAGAAGAATAGATAAAACCAATTTAACTAAAATATATACATATAATCTTACACAATAACTTAAAAATAATAATATTGCACCGAGACATATAATATTGCACTGGGAATGTAGAGTGAGTGTAATCAACTATATACTATATATAGTAATGGATATTACAATGCTATGTAGATGTGCAAATAATCACACTAGGTGTGGAGGTAGAAGATGGTACAGTAGGTGGCAGAGTATTTAGTAAAGTGCAAGGTACAGGAAGTTAAGTGGAAGCGCAGGGGGAGAGTATTGTCTTTGGATAGGTATTCAAAGTCCAGCTATGCAAGTAAAGTGCGGGAGTACAGTGGGTGCACGTACGTGTAATGGGAAGGGTTGGGCTGGGCAGAGCAGTGATTACTGGCTGTTCAATAGCCTGGTTGCATGGGGGAAGAAGCTGTCTTTGAGCCGACTGGTTCTGGCTTTTAAGCTTCTGAGCCTCCTACCACTCGGCAGCTGAGAGAACAGACAGTGACTAGGATGGGAGGGGTCCTTCATAATCCTTCTGGATTTCCTCAGGCAGTGACTGGTGTATAGTCTGCTTACTCAGAGAGGATTAATGATACAATCTTGGACTATTTGCACTATGTATAGTCCTGTGTCTCCTAGTGTAATAAAATGAATAAAACTTCCATCACTGTTCACTATGGGAAGAGATGAGTGAACATAGGATTGGGGTGTTTCCACTTTGCATATTCACAGAATCTGTATTTTTTGGCAAGGATAAAGGTGTAGGCATGCTTCTGCCCTTTTTTCTGTTGTCTAATGCAACTGTCCTGTCAAGCTATTCATTATTCATTACAGAAAAACCATCAAAATAAGTTTCAGGAGACATTTAACCAGGGCTCAGAAACAATCAAACTGTTCACTCCAAGCAGAACAAAAAATGTAGGTTTCTGTTCTTGTGTTCCACCTTTAACTTCAGTTAAATCCATTCCTTTTACATAAGCTTTTTGTAAACCCTAATACAACAGAAAGGTTTGGAAAGCTGCTACACCCAGCAGCTGTGCTTGTATTAA